AAGTTATGTTTATTCAAGACTTGTCAAAAGTCCAAAGGCTAAAAATGCATGTTTACATCAAACATACAATCTTATAAAAAAGCATTAAAAACATATACATAGATGTATTATATATATATACATATATATATATATACGTATATATATATATATATATAATATATATATATATATATAAAGCATAGCAAATGTATGTATATATATTTGAGGAGGGTACTTGTACTTACATACCTTCCTCAACCATGACTTATATAATCTTATAACATAAGGAAGCATTACTCATTGAATTGGTCGTTGCATATATACTTTTGACAGAAGAAATGAAAATAGTGTCGATTTGACCCATATAGGGATAAGTGCAAAAGTACATGCGGAAGTTGTTAAGCGTAAACACCCAGGTATCTTATTGTATTAATGGAACTCGGAAGTGGGCCGGGTGTTGTGATTTGTGTCAGTGCAAGATGTCTGTCATCGACTGACTGGAAGAGATCCTCTCTATAATATGTATGTATATCGAGAGAATCAAGTATAACAACATTTCTATATATATATACATTTTTTTTCCTTCTATATATATATATATAATATATATAATATATAATATATATATATATATACATATGTTTTGGCCATGACTAAGCTGATTAAGTATATTTCAAATAGCATGTCAAGCTTATCAATTATTCAGTAAGTATCACCCTATGGTAAATGTTAGGTGTAGGCCCATTATTAGGACAGAAGGTCGTACATGATTTACATGATCGTTTCCCACGCATAACAAACAAAAACAACCACTCAAAATATGAGAATATAACGCAAATTTACAAGAATTTTACCATTGTTTTCGTTGTGTTTATACTCTTCCATGCACTGACTTTGTGCGCACTTCCAAATGCGCATCAATATATATATGAATATACATGTAACGCCTCTACATGCTGGTCGACTCTATCTAAAGCGTTCCATCGCCTATTTCCAAAGAGAGTGCCATGTGATCTTTTTCTGGAAACGACTGCATCTTAATTTCCATGTAACCTTTTGGGGAAAATGTAAGATCATATTCTAACCATATTATTTTTGAATACGATCCATCACCATGGAGACAGATATCCGCCCCACAATATTCGTTTAACTAGACAGGAGGCTGGCTACGGGGCAAAGTCTTTCGAATTAAGTCACGTATTCACTATCAACTGCCAATAAACTACCTATTCACAGATTTGTAGAGGTCAGTTCTCATGAGACTGAGCATTCATCAGCGCAGATCTTGAATTTGTTGACATCTCAAAAACAACTTCTTAGAAGAATATTTAAATGAAAATGTTTAATTTTGCTCCGAGTGGGTAATATTTTACTTGTTTATTTACTGCTTTAAGTACAATGAAAGTAATGATCATGATGGTGAAAATAACGACGATACTACTACTACTATACTACTACCAGGGAAGGCGATTCCAGGGGACGGGGAGGGGGAATCGTCCCCCCGGAAACTACTACTACTACTACTACTATTACTACCGCAACTACTACTACTACTACTACTACTACTACTACTACTACTACTACTACTATACTACTACTACTACTACTACCGCTACTACTACTACTACTACTACCGCTACTACTACTACTACTACTACCGCTACTACTACTACTACTCAGGCGCGTACGCAGGGGGGGGGGGGTGTTTGGGGTTAAACCCCCCTTTGGTATTTTTATGTATATAAACCCCCCTAAAAAAAAACTCAAACCCCCCCCCCCCCCTTTGTTTTTTTAATTTTTTTTAATAATAAAAAAAAAAAAAAAAAAAAAAAATTATCCCATGGCTGACCTAAAAAAGGTGACCTTACCCCCCCCCCCAGCGGAGCAAAATGTCAAATTTTCAAATTTCGAGACCCCCCCCCCCCAAAAAAAAGTGTCCTCTTATCCCCCCCCCCCCCCCCCCCCCCCCCCCCCCCCCCCCCCCCCGCTTATTCAGCGGCTGGCTGAGTCGATGCGAAATTTTCGGCCCGATTTAAATATATTAAAACCCCCCTTGAAAAATCCTGCGTACGCGCCTGCTACTACTACTACTACTACTACTTCTTCTAATACTACTACTACTACTACTACTACTATTGCTACCACTACTACTACTACTACTTCTACTACTACTACTACTACTACTACTACTACTACTACTACTACTACTACTATTACTACTACTACTACTTACTACTACTACTACTACTACTACTACTACTACTACTACTACTATTACTACCACTACTACTACTACTACTACTACTACTACTACTACTACTACTACTACTATTACTACTACTACTACTACTACCGCTACTACTACCACTACTACTACTACTATTACTACCACTACTAATACTACTACTACTACTACTACTACTACTACTATTACTACTACTACTACTACTACCGCTACTACTACTTACTACTACTACTACTACTACTACTGCTACTATTACTACCAGTACTACTACTACTACTACTTCTACTACTACTACTACTACTACTACTAACATTTGTTGAAAAATAATTATTCATGATATTTGTTTGACGACCCACTTTTACTTATCACTTGTTTATGCCTATTTATAGATGATATCCTATCATTCTGATACTAATAATGTCGTAAATCAAATATATGGCATAAGTATTTTAAGTAATGCTTAAGACTTGTTTGAATCATAATGTATATGATATAGACATAGAATAACAAATTTCACTAACGTTGGCAACTTTTAATGCTGGGGCCGGACATGACTAGCCATATTTATTTTACTATTTTGTAATCCCATTTTGCCATTTTCGTGTTTTTTTTTAATTGAGCAAAGCGCGCGCAGCGTCTAACGGCGTTTGGTCCAGGTTTTCAGCTTTTTTAAGAACCCCAAAACGCCTCTCCCCGCATAATTTTGTTAGAAAAGTTTTGTCCCAAATAGGGGGAAACACGCTGTCACACTTTTCATTGGCTGATTCTGACGAAATGATTTATTCTTGATAAAGTTTATATTTCTCAGAACTTTATAGATCAATCTAAATAGTCAAAGAAATTTATCAATATGGTTTCGAGGAGATATTAATTTTATCTATCAAGAATAATAATAATAATAATAATAATAGTTCGTCTTTTATAGCGCATTTCAGGACCGGAGGCTCTCTCAAAGCGCTTTACAATGACAATGTACGTTTACATAATAATTACATAATAATAAGCCATATTGTCACAATCATTTCATGAAAAGAGGTAAACAAATATATTTCAACTTTATGAGCAACAGAGTACATGTAAAATGTAAAATCTCACTGTTTGTTATTTTATAGAGGTTATACTCGCGTGACAAAATGATAGCTGTAATACGGCGGAATCCTCATATCCGCTTAAAGAGATCCTATGCTAAAAAAAACAACAGTGCAATCGCGGGCTTGAACAATATTTTGTGGAACAGATTACGTCCCTCCATTACATGATAACGGTCAGGGATCTAAACTTTTGTCCAAAGTCGATTTAATTAAACCACAAACTACCTCAACAGGCACAACATGTTGGCATTAATCAGGCGCGTACGCAGGGGGGGGTGGGGGGGGGGGTATTTGGGGGGTTTAACCCCCCCTTTGGTATTTTTATGTGTATAAACCCCCCTAAAAAAAAAAAAACCAAACCCCCCCCCTTTGTTTTGTTTTGTTTTTTGTTTTTTTTAATTAAAAAAAAAAAAAAAATTATTCCCATGGCTGACCTAAAAAAGGTGACCTTCCCCCCACCCAACAGAGCAAATGTCAAATTTTCAAATTTCGAGAACCCCCCCCCCCCCCATAAAAAAAAAAAAAAAAAGTGTCCTCTTACCGATGATCGTATCCTTATTAAAGGAAAGTAAACTGGTGCGGCATGGATTATAACTTTAAGATCGAATCTCGGATTTTACATTATTCTTTTATTTGTTAACTCGCACTCGCCAGATAAGTAAATATAGCTCGTACTAAAATTTGATTTTAGGGTGGAATATGGGTTTGCATATTGATTCGCACGAGTGAAAAATAATTCGCTTTAAAGCATACGTTATGAGGTTGAGCATGTCACCTACAGTCTATAAATGACGTTTTGGGTGTGTACTTTTGTTTGATTCTTATTTAACATGCGATCACATTACCAAATGCTCATCATTTAAAAAAAAGCTATGATATATAACAAGCGGCGGCGTAGATAAGGGGGCATGGAAGCTTTGGGGCTCTGCTCTACCCCTAAAATCATTATTCTTCTGTGGCCTTTTTTCTCATGCGTTTTATCTACATGAAAATTCTCTTAAGCAGTGGCGGATCCAGGGGGGGGGGGCCGGGGGGCCAGGGCCCACCCCCCCCCCCCCCTTGAGAAAAAAATCATGCAAAATCACGCGATTTTACCTTTTTGGGGGTTGGGCCCCCCCCCCCTGGTGCTCAAGGGGGGTGCAAATTTTAAAATTTTGAGGACAAAAAAAAAAATTGTGCTCACTACCCCCCCCCCCCCCCCCCCCCCCCCCCCCCCCCCCCCCCCCCCCCACCCCCCCACTGAGCGACTTTTCGGCTGGCTGAGTCGTTGCAATTTTTAGGGACTCCAAAAAAAAAAAAAATGTCCGCTTACCCCCCCCCCCCCCCCCCCCCCCCCCCCCCCCCCCCCCCACCGAGCGAATTTTCGGCCGGCGCGATTTTCAAATTTTCGGGAGCAAAAAAAAAAAAAAAAGTTGGGCCCCCTCCCCTAAGAGATCCTGGATCCGCGCCTGCTCTTAAGCCCCTCACCCCATTAAACCAGTGCCCCCCCTTCAATAGCTCGATCCATGGTACGCCACTGGTACTCCATGCACACACTTTTCATTGATTAAAAAATTAATAGGAAATAATTCTCATTAAATAAACTTTAAAAAAATATCCTAGTAGACTAGCAAGGAAAAACAATAAACAAACAAAAACAGCTAATTGTAACCATTGAACAAAAATCAAACTTACACACATGCTTTCATTGGTATCATTCACAGTGTATTTCGTTATTAATTCATAATATATCAATATAAAAATCTATACAAACCATCATACAGTAGAAATAGTCGAAAACCACATTAATGATTGGCCATACCACCTACTATTCATAATATTCTCAAAGAGACATCATTAATAATAGTTCACGAGACACAACAGGAAGTTTTCATCAACATCCCAAATGAATCGAACATCCTCCAAACTCCTCCGTAAATTTTTCTCAAATGTCAAACATTTAATACGTCTGCAACCAATTTATGGCAAGTCATTACAAAATATGATAATTTATCAATACCTAGCATCGGTCTTGTGGGGGCCTAGTGATCAGATTCTTTTCTAGAACTGTTAAAATACAGAGTGTCTCAATTTTCATTGTGTCAGTAGTGATTTCACCAAGAAATTACCACTTGGAATGATTTAAACAGAAAAAAGTTTGTCGGAAATGCAAAAGTAATGGGCTGGCATGTCATAAAAAACAACCATAACTCTTCAGTATTAGCTTAAATACTTGTGAAATTCACACACAATTTAGGGGATGCTATTATGATGTTACCCATCAAATTTCAGTGAGGATGATTACAAACTTTTTACGATATTGCCTATTAAAATATTTGTTTTTAATATATATATTTTTTTAGACACCCTGTACTTTCACACTTTAGTGCTAGAGGTTTTGGAAGACCATGAACACCATTCCATAATAGGGTACTGGTAAACTTAATCATTCTTAAAATAAAGTGCCAAATTTACAGAATGGCACTAATAAGTTTTACATGAAAATTACATGTGATAAATTATATCTGTATAACAAATACATATTTCTTGAACATATAACATCATACAGTATTAAACAAGAATCATTCATTGAAGTTCAATTACCAAGATGCCATAGTTTGTCTGTCTGATGCCAGAAGGGTGTTAACTGATGTAATTCAACACAGAGTTAATGCTCTAAACAGGTGATTTTGTTGTTTGCATCAGGACCCTCAGTCAATGTCTACATGTATATTGCAAAATGTAAGTAACATTGCAGTGCTTTGCAGACCAATTTTTAACCCTCCCCCCCCCCAAAAAAAAAGGTCATCTTTACGACATGTTAATTCCACAAATTCCACAAAATATGCATTTCAAATCTTCATTGCAAGGTAGCTTTAAATCTTTACACATTTTTCTTCCTTCTTAGCTAATGTAGCACAGTACAACATGCCTTTAAAAGAAATTATTTCATACAAATTTAATTCTTCACATGGAGTTGTCTCAGCTTACTCAAGAAATGTCTCATGCAATTAAATTAATTCACACCATGTGAAGTAACACTCTTCATGAATACAATTTAATGATGGATTGACAATGTATTTACCAAAGTCTTGGTATCAAAATCAAGTGGATAAATGAAAGCAATGTATGTGAAATAAGGTCCACTTGAATTTAAAATTCATTAACTGCATAACTACAAGTCAAAGAATATTATCCCTATTTACATAATGCTATGATTATTGATTGTTTTCAGATAATCATATCTTGAGATAAAAATATTGTTCCAAGTAATTACTGAAGTTTAGAGTCAATTACATGTTCAACTTTCATGTCCAACTTTTAAGTCACAGTGGATTCCTATATCCACCACACTCATAGTTATATTCAATAAATTACAGAAACATAGAGCTCACATAGGCCTTGTTCACAAATGAAGCAATAAACAAGCTTTATCAAAAATCTGCAAAATATAATCATTTAAAGCCCAAATGAACAGCAGGTGGAATGAAAGATAAGTTCCCTAGGCATTCTCATTTATCTGTGTGCTATAGATTACAGATATGTGAAGTGAACAGTGCCTATGTTATTTTATTTAGAGGTAGTGGTTTATTTTTTCTTAATCCTTTTTTTCCTTTTTAGAAGGCTTCCAATTCAAGTGTGAACTAGGCTACATATATCTGGTCAATGCACCCTTTGTGATCAGGAATGATGATTACAACAACCAAGGATTTCCTTAACACTCATTCACGTAGGAGGTGTTTTGTTTTCTTTGTTGCATAAGTGAACGGCAAGTGGGATGAGTAAGAAGTAGCTGCGAGCAACAAAGCTCCTCCTATGCATACTCAATTATCCGATTGATATCAAATTTAGAAATGTAAAGGTCACTAACCCTTTCGCAAAAATCATTCCACAGTTTGGCTCAATAACTTCTGATTCATAGCCCTAAAAATATGCCAGATGCACGAGTAGAAAGGGCAAGAATTTCGAACATACTGCAACCCATTTTTTAATGTTATGACTATCTTGCATTTGATTTCAGGAATTATAAAAGGAAAATAATCTTTAAAATCCTTAGTTTGGCAACACATTGTGAAATTCCAAATCATTTTATTTTGACCAAATTGGCAATTTTCAACTTTTCAACATCATTACTTTAGAGACATTGCATCTTATTAAAACAATGTAGCAATAAAAGAAAAATATAATTGTTGCCAATTTGAAGGACAATATGTGATCAATTTAGCCGAGAAATAATTCCAGTCCTAAAAGGGTTAAGCATATTTTACCCCCAGCGAATAACCATGCCATATGTGGAGGAGGCTTTAGAGCTTGCCCTTCATGAAGCTCTCAAACATCGGAAGCACCTTCTGGAGAAGCATGATCTGACCTTTGACCTTGATCTTGCCCGACAAGAACGCCTGTATGATTGGTCGGGGGAGGAAAGAAGGAAGAGCAAAATAAGACAAGTTTGAAAGAAAGAGAGAAGGATTGGGAAGTGACCATGAAGGGAACAAAAAGACAAATTATAAAATGAAAATGACAAATCATGAGGATAAAAAGTACAATAATCAAGAACAAAAACAACAAAATCTTTCTTTATATTTTTTTTCTTTAAGCATATCAAGTACAGACTGATACATGTTGTACTTATAAAAACATACACAATTTATTGAAATTGAAAATGACAAAATCAGTGATTGTTGCACTCTTAGTATTGGTAATGTGTCTGTAACAAACAACTATTATTAATCCTTTTATCCATTTTGGCCTTTCAGTTTATAGTGTTGAAAAGGTCATTATCAACAATTATGGCTTTATGGCAAGTTTTGAATATTAACCATGCATCATTTGAAAGACTTTCTTTTTGCTATGATGAATCTGTTTATCAATATATTGTCAATGGTGATCATTATCAAAGGCATACCGGTACCTGGGAAATTACACCTGGGGGATGTTTCACAAAATCCTAAGTTGGACTTAACAATTATGGAAAGCCGTTAGCATCTTTGAAAATATTTTAGAAAAGTTATTTCAAAAGGCATAAAAAGTTGATTCAAATAATTCATATTTTCTATTATCAAGGAGATTTCATGTTCTTGGTGTGGAATTTATAAAAACTCTAAATTACTTGGATTTTTGCTCTTGAATATATTTATTTTAAGGCTACAAATGGCTCTCCGTAATTTTAAGTCCAACTTAATGTTAAGTTCGACTAAGGATCTTTGTGAAACACCCCTCCCCCCCCCCCCCCAGATGTACCTGCCCCATCAATTGGAGGATTTGCATCCCCCCCCAAAAAAAAATAAATAAATAAAATAAATAAATAAATAAATAAATAAAAAAAATAAATAAAAAAAATAAAATAAATAAATAAATAAATAAATAAATAAATAAATAAATAAATAATAAATAAATAAATAAATAAATTAAAAAAAATAAATAAATAAATAAATCAATAATATATTTAGTGCCCCAAGTGTTGGGAATCAGAGAGCTATAGGCAATGGGAAGTATAAGAAACAAGAATAGAAGAGAGTACAGTTTATCAATGTTTTATCAACATACCGTCTGTGGCTTCAGAGATCCAGAAGCCAACGCAACAAAGTCCTCATCCGATATGGTGACGGTAACATCGGCCTTGCCAGACTTGGGCTCTCCTACATAGACTGCACCCTGACCCTTCAGATCAATAGCTGGAAACAAGCAAACAAGACACCTTCTCACAATCCATTCTTGTATAGCACTCCTAGCAGCCAAAAGGAGACCTGGGCCCCGTCTTACAAACAGTTCATATCAATCGCTACAGTATTTGCAATTGATATCAATCGCAACTATGTACATAAGAGATAGGAGACTGCAAACTTGCGATTGATTGGAGGACTTAAGATCGATTTGGATCAATCGTAACTCTTTGTAAGACGGGGCCCTGAAGAAATTACTTTCAGCACGTCTATCAATCATATTTCTCAATTTTTGCTATACAAGGGACTGTTGGCTTCAGCCTACATCGATATATCACTTATTGCAATCCACCAGTGATATTTGTGTTTGTTCAATTCAGTGTGAAATGTTAGAAATATGACAATCCTACATGTTTTGTTCAACAATGTTCTTGACAGAGTTGATGAAGATAATTTTGAATTTGTTTTTCACTGGTATTAGTTTTACAAATCAATTCACACACAAACAAAAATCATTGTCATAGACAATTACAGCAATATCTGACATTTATAATGGAAACTAAAGTCACAACAGCTTAAGTGGGTAGGTTACACAAAATCAATTTTATACGACAAGGATGCTGACAGAGTGAGAGAGTAGAAAAGGACCAAAGGTAGGCAGAGGAGGTGGGTAGATCAGAGAAGAAAAGGTAGAAAGAGAGAGTGAGCCAAGAGTTATAGCATGCATACAATTAAAATTAGCCGTGTAGACTGACATATATACGTTGATGCACTGCACCATAAAATGACTTACTCCATACTCCTGCCACCTTTCCATCAGATGTGATGTTGTACTGGATGATACCATTGACCTTCTTAACAAGATCAGGAGCGCCGCTGACCATCCCACTGGCAGCAGAAAAGATCGCCTCAGACTTGAGACCAGATGATGATGGCTGCAAAGGGAATTAGAAATAACATACCACTTGGGATTTACAATAATAATAATCCTAATATAATGCACTTACATTGCACCATCTATCTGGTAAAACTATTAGAAAGTTAGGAAGAAATTCAAATTGACTACAGGATAATACAAAATGTGTTTACAATTACATTCACATACTGCATTCTTTCAAAAACAGAATTGTCTTCAGGTTAGGCCCCTCGGTAGAACAGCTGTGTTGTAAAGGCGTAGATGAGTACTGAGTAGGGTGTTCCTTCCAAAATCATTTTGTCACATCATATTATGTTAAAACAAATCAATCAATCAATGATCATCCGTCTTCCTTTCTCAATCTTACCTGACTTGGAGCAGCGTTCTTCTGCTCTGCTACTCCATGCAGATCAACGTAAGCTCCAGATATACACACAGCTCCAGTCTCAACAACCTGGTACATACAACAAATGGACATTTGAGTTAACTAACAGATAATGATGATGATGATGATCCACAGCACTTGTACTGCGCCATTTATCTGATTCAAGCATATGATTGGAACAGCTAAGTCAAAGAAACGCATTGAAGAGAGACATACCAGCTGTTCCACTTGCACTCATCAGAGCAAACAACATTTAAGTCAAATATTATTAATATTATATATGAGGGATGGACTCTTGCATTAGGACTATACTCCTTTTTAGTTCATCCCTTCACTCTCATTATGATACATTTTTGTTTGGATGTATGATATTTATGTATGTTTATTCTGTATTTGTGAATGTGACTATTGTATATATTCTGTATTTTTATTGATGAGGATAAATAAATGAACTTGTACTTGAACTTAAACTAATCACAACACATTACTTTTATTTTTTTGCACTGACTGAGTTTGACTTTTAGGAGTTTGCTCTCAGGAGGGCAAGCTGAAAACCTGAAGTATGTCTATAATTAAAAAAAAAAGAAAATCCTATATTATGTGCTATAAAAGCATAATCTATTATTGTTAGATTATATCTAAAAGAATCCACGATGAAAGACAACATGCATTGCACTGTTGCTGTTTTAACTTCAAGTTTTTAAATAAAATCTTTCAGTTTTAGACATTGACACACTGACAATATGGGTTCACATATCGTTGAAACAACTGCATGATGTTTTAAACTACAAGACGAGCAGGCAGTCATTACAATTACAAGCTGGGGACACCTTCAAGCTAATTGTGTCCTCACACGAAAGGGGGGAGGGGGAGGGGGAAGGGGGAGGGGGACTGCGTGTATTCATTGAGCTCTGAGTCATAAGATACAGAAATGTGAGGCGTATCACATTTTACGTCGTCATAAATATAAAAAACTGCATCATATCTGAACGAGCCTTTAGTCAGAATGATCGTATGAATTAGCATTTAACATTTAAAAAAAAGGAACAAGAGAAATTGTTTTGAGGTGACCTACCTTACTCTGGAAATGGATTCTGGTACCTTCCTGCCACATGTCAGTCTGTATGGTCTGACCAGGGAGAACAGGCTTGGAGAAACGCACCTGATATGATGAACAAGGAGGATAAGGAGGGGGGGGGGGGAGAGAGAAAGAGGGGGGGGGGGGAGAAAGAGGGGGGGTGGAGAGGAAGAGGAGGAAGATGGAGAGGGGGTTGAGGAAGGGGAGGGGAGGAGGAGGAGGGGGAAGAGGAAGAGGGGAAGACGAGAATGAGGAGGAGGAGAAGGAAGAGGAGGGAAAAAAGAATGAGGAGGGGGAGGAGGAAGTGGATGAAGAGGAGGGAGAAGGAGGAAGAGGGTGAGGAGGGAGAAGAGGAAGGGCGAAGAGAAGAAGAAGAAGAAGAAGAAAAAGAAAAAAAGAATGAATGAAAAAGGAATGAAGAATAAGGAGAATATTGATAGAAGTTGATCATATTGCTCTCAACAACAAAAAATCAGTCTTGGATAATCTGACCAGGTAGAAATACTGATTACATTAAGTATTAAAAGTTCATATAGACAGATTTGACAAAATGCATCCAACAAATATAGGTGGGTATCATTTTTTGTTTAAAAATTAGGTTTGTAAAAATACCTACACTTATTCAGCATTATCTGTGCTCTATCTCTAAACAACATTCTCTATTCACCTCCAAGAAACCATAAAAAATGAAAATTCTTTGAACATTCCAGGCAGGTTCTTACCTTGATAGCTTTGAACTTGGAGACATCGTTGTTGGCGTACTGCTTCAAAACATGTCTAGAGGCAAAGCCAAAGGAACAGAGTCCATGAAGAATTGGCTGGGCAAATCCTAAAGATAATCAGAACAGATAATTAGAATTGACATTCTAGTAGAATATACTTTTTTTGGTGGACAGTTGCTAAAATCGATTTTGATTTATCATTATTGATTTACCAATAGAAGCCATTGTGACTATTGGTTTCAATAGAGAATTCAGAATATGGGACCTTTAGATAGTACATTTCTGAATGATGTATTACTTCTTTCATCTTTCTTTGTCAAATCACATACATTCATTTTACTTTCAATTCTCGTTAAGAAAATGCATTAAACAAAATATTATACATATATGAAACAATATAAACAATACAAAAAATATGGAGGAGCCAGCAGAGGCAATTGGCCTTGCGAAGACTGGGCTCCAATGGCCGCAAATAATTATATATTAGTGGGTATTGCAGGGGACCTGAAGCAAGAATATCAATATTGAGCACATATACTAACTGGCTCAAGAGTGGTTAATGTAGATTTAATGTCTTGCCAAAGGAAGCTTTGATACAGGATGAGGATATTGACTTGGCCGTCAAACTATTTAACTATATCCACCAACTTTATCCTGGGTCTAAAGTTAGTCTACTTTTATGACTACAAGCCTAGCACACTAGGCCTGTCCTCATCAGCTCAAGTTTGCCAAATAACCCGCTATTTTAACTATCCCGATCGCAAATTAGCCACTTAATTTGCGTCTCCATCAGCCCGCAGTTGCAATTAGTGGGATATTTTGTCAAGAAAATATCCCAAGAAATATTGGCCTTGTTTCCAAAATATCCTGCTATTGTGGAAATAGCGGGCTAATTTGCGCCCGTCCGAGTTGTATAGGTCTGGTGAGGACGCAATTTCGAGCTTTGGGATAATATCCCAGTCTGAAAATAGCGGGTTATTTGAAAAAATTGAGCTGATGAAGACAGGCCTACTGACTCACCTCCCATGGCAGCAAAGGACGGATCAATATGAAGAGGATTGTAGTCACCACTGAGCCTATAGAGCGCAGCCTGATCTAGAGACGTCTTCTCCTGCAGAGAGGCATCAGGTGCACGGGATGGCGCTTTCGCTGTTTCCTGTCATGTGGTACGAAAAAGATCAGATTTGCTTCTGAAATTCAACATTAGATTACATTACGGTTGCCTTCATTTCAAACCACTCCGAACCATTGCAATAGATGAGACAGGAAATATGAATAAAGAGACAAACCTCTCACAAGCAAAAAGACCAAATAAACACACAAACAGGAATAGTCCCTTTGATTAAAGGGATCCAGTAATTTTGTCTCAGATTCTAGAAACAAAATCCTGGATTTAGCTCATGCTGCAATGATAATTATAAACCTTAGGTCAGTCAGGAACCCCATGACTTTTACAAGCGGATCGCCCGTCTGATTATCAAGATATTTATGATTGAAAATCGAAACCAAATTTTACATTGGCCAAACGATTTTCAGAACACTATGCCTTTAATACTGTAAGAATAACTTCACATCCTCATTACATTCTTATATCCTGCTCAGAACGAAAACACACATTTAGTTATCAAATGGAAATATGCATCCTCATACATAACACAGGGTGGGTCTCACATCACAAAGTTGATCCCCTAAGTTTATGATTATAACATGTGCAGAAACAATTGCAATTTCGTATTTTCAGATACCAAGAGTTCGATATGAAGCATGAAAAACTTGATATACCTTGAGGTGGGGAGATGATCGCTTGCCTCCGAAACCTCCTGCTCCAACGAGGAATACCACGTTCTGATTGACAATGACCAGTTCATTGTTTTCATCGTAGGAGTTTGCTAAAAAAAAGAAGAGTGTTGTACAACCACATGTATTATACCTGTTATCAAACAGCAAAAATACATGCCTGATTCATTTTCAGATGATGACTGTAAATCAGCTTTTTAGCCAGTAGCCTTCTAGCACTCATGAAAGTTTCATGTCATGAACAAAATAAAACTTCCTCACACATGCTACAGTTTTTTATGCAATTCATGACAGATTCATGCCACAAAAAAAGGTCATCTTAACAGCCCATCATGTTTTCTGTTTGTTGTACATACAAGTCAGAACGGATGCTGTCAAATACATACCATTAATGATGATAACGGCTCCAGATTTCTTGTCCACGATGTCCACAACCATCGGCTTGTTGGTGAGCTTCGCTGATGTGTCCAGAGGCTTCTTGAGTTCCAGATATTGTTCACCGTGGAGGATCTATGAAGAGTATGAAAGAATTTAAAAGGAGATGAGGAAGTTGTCCTACACATGCTCCTGTAATGATTGCCCCATGGTTGATTTCCTATACTTAACCAATTTCCTAACTTCAACCCTGGTCCAAAAGCCATACCTAAACCCAATGGCAACCCCAAGTGTGACTCAGTGTTATATGCTCTGGCTCCTAACCATTAGGAGCCAGAGCATATAACACTGAGTTCCTAAAGAAAATATATTCATTCAGATGGTCATTTCTCAGCCAAAACTTCACTTATTCAATTGGTTTTTGACATTTGGACATTATTTTTGATGCTCTTTCGGAAAATGAAGAAAAAATACAAAAATTCAAAAAATAGATTTTTATGACGTCACAACTTCGGTACTCTATACCTTCTGAGGCGCGATGGCTCAGTGGTAGTGCAGTGGTCTCTCAGTGGTCTCTCAGTGGTCTCGTAACCGGGAGTTTCAGGGTGCAAAACAAAGCCGATGCGCTAAAGGCACTCTGGTAATGAATATCCTCAAACAAACAAACAAACATAATAAAGCCTGATCGGAGCGATTGTCGCAAGAGCAGAGGTTGGATCACCGATAAGATGAAGTAGCTCCCTGATGTAGAGGTTTGCCTGGGGGTTTTGGAGCATCAGTCCAATCTTTCTTCTTTAAACGCAAAATGCTGTTCTAAAATACAGACCAGCCCTTCAGGAACAAGTTCTTGCTGGTTCCTCATGGCTTATTTTCTTTTCATCTAAGGACTGATTCTCTTACACACCTTATCAAATTATTACTTATCTTAACTTGCCTCACTTTCGTATTGTCTTTTTTTCACAAAACATAATGTTACAGTATCAACTTGAGGCCCTCTAAAGCCTGTCTGTACGAGTTTGGCCAGGGGGATTAGACCTCCCTACAAGGTCACTAGCAGGTGGTTATCTCATCAAATCAGCTCGCAATAAACATGAGAAAAAGAGGATCATGGGGGACCGACAGGCACGGATTAGGCACTGTTTGCTATATAGAGTAATGCAGTGGGGCTTTAAGACTAGCTTTACGATTCAGAAGCGATATATCATGAATAATGACCATTTACCCTTGTAACATCAATTGATTCTAATCCTGGGACAGAGGTAAGGTTTTGTAGTGCAGCGAATGATGGGATTACTCCAAACGTAGGCAGTACACAGAAATCTTCATTCAGCTCAAACAGGAACTTCAGATGGTCTGGCTGGGTGGTCGATACACCAACTGGAAGAACAAAGAAAAAACAGAACCATAATGATGGCTTTGTAACTTGCGTATTCACCTAATGGAGCATTAAAATATTTAAATATAACAGATAAATTGATGAAAGTGAAAGAGACGAGAACAGAAGAGAGAGAGAGAGGTAGAGGGAGAGAGAGGGAGAAAGAGAGAGAGAGAAAGAGGAGACAGAGAGAGAGAGAGGGGGAGGAGGGGGAGAGGGAGAGAGAGAGAGGGGGAGGGGAGAGAGAGAGAGAGAGAGAGAGAGAGAGAGAGAGAGGGGAGGGGAGAGAGAGAGAGAGAAAAAGAGAGAAAAAAACAGTTATCAGTTAATGGGTTTAAATCACAACATAAACTTACCTCCAAGAGCATAAAGAATCGCTTCTCTAGAAGTGTATTGAAAATCCTTGGCTCCCATCTCAACCCCGATGGCCTTGGACTGTCATGGAAGTAATGCAATGAGAATCATAAAATGGCCATTACTTTTTTAAGTTGCAAGTCACCATATTTGTTACAAAATGAATTTAATGAGTGATACTGCATATATCAAAGCCTTTATTCCTAGGCAATCTATCACATAGAACAACTTGCTAAGTTGACAAACATTCAATCTACAATGTTAACAATATTACAAATAACCAAAGACTTTTAACAATGGACATCAGCCGACATGCATGATAAATTGACCGATGCTATGTAGGTGTGCGTGTGTGTGTGTGTGTGTGTGTGTGTCTCTCTTTTTATCAATCTATCTATCTATCTTAATCTAGCTACAAGCATCACATATATCATGTATCTTTTCACTTCAGCAACTACGCTGTTCAACATCTTTCTCTCAGGTATTCTCCATTCATTCCAGCCTCATGACATTTTTTCCGTCTTTCCTCTAGCTATTTTTTTTCCAACACACTATCCACCAAATACACTTGTCTCTTCTTCTTCCTCAGTACTCCTCTTACTACCAAGCTTTCTTGTCAGTGCAAGATTCTCTCACACTCCTTCATATCACAAGTGTGGTAAAACTATTATCAGCTTATTCCTATTCTTGTAAAGGTGTAAAATATTTGGATAAAATCCTGATCACAGTACTTCCAAGTAAACTCATTATAAAATTAGATACCAACCGGATTAAATCCTCCATCATCACCGTCCCCACTGGTATCACCCTTAGAACTAGGAGAAGAATCAGCATCAGATGAGCCTTCATTCATACTCTCTAACATGAACATCATGGAATCTGAAAAAAGGAATCACCAAGGAAAATTCTTTTTTTAAACAATTTGTAATGTAAAATAAACATTTAAATATGTAGATAGTCAATTATAGCGTGAGTTTAATTCAGATCCCTTTCCTCCAAAACCTTACCAAAAAAAGTGTGTTATCTGCACTGTAATGTATTTTTTTCTCAAAATGCTTTATTGATGACTATGACTATGTCACCTTTCACATACATGAACAATGAGCAAATAAATACCTCTTTTCATATTGAGTGAAGAAAACGTGGCACCCAACTATTTTGACAAAATACCTTATTTTGATGGGTATAACCACAGGTTAAAAATGTATTTAATTTACTCCACAAATCAGTTGATTAACTTGATCTTACCTTGTGTGCTGGCAGGGTAACTGACTTTCCCTTCAAAATCACAGATCTTATCCCAGTTGTCACGAACTAGGTAGGTAGGTAGGTAGGTAAATATGTAGAGAGAGACAGACAGAAAGAGAGAGAGATTCAGTCAAAATCCTTCACAAATAGCATGACAGGCTGATGCAGAGTTAGAGCTTTGAAGGATATTTCACACAGACTAAAAGAATACAAAAACCACACATCTTCCCCCCATACATGTCTATATTTGGTTCCAAAACTCTCCCTTCAAGATCTCTATAAGCACACCCACTTGTTTTCCATCTATAACTGCATCTATGACTGACTGAAATCTAAACTGCATACACAATGCTAAATTGGAAAACAACTTCCATAAATGATTGAACTTGGAATATACATTCACTTTAACTCAAATGCAGTAATTACACTGCTATAGTGAGCCTAAACATAATGTTCTGTCTGTGTCATTGAATTAATCAATACAAAAAGTCCAAATACATGTAAAAATCGTTGCTTGAATAAATAATGATGTTTTGGTGATAGACTTAAATCAAAGTTTAGTAATGATGATTCTATTTCTTGGGTAAGTTTGTGTAAGTAATTTTTTTTTACTGAAAATAAACTTACTCTGTTCAGCCGTATACGGTTGGTCTGGCTTCAGGCAATTTACTCCAGCTGTCCTCTGCCATCGCACTGTAATACACAAAACAAAAATACAGAGAATTTTGGATGAAGAAATCACTATTCTCACTAGCTGTAATCCACTGCATGACAAGCTTTCAGTAAAACCTTTGGCATGTCTTTCATATGGCTTTCGTATGTAATACACAGGACTGCATCTGGGAAATGTTGAATAGTACCTTCATAACTTAATTCCACTGCTTCAACTTCTCTCTTTCTTCAACCCTATACCGGTATGTAACCTTTGTGAATTGTTGATGGTAACCATGTAAATGACGAGAAATTTTCACGAATTCTAAATGGTAGATTCTATTATGTCCTGAAAAGAAAAATTGCAAATCTGTCCCTCAATGAAAATTTAAAAAAGATTCTTAGATGTATTTATACATTTTTTTAATTGGGGTACCCTTTTTTCTCTTACGTTTGGCCGCCCATCCTGCTCCACATTCGTAGATGCCTCCTGTAGACTGGCATTGTTCATGACTAAGATAGGCTACCATAGGAGCAACGTAGTCAGGCTTCAACTTCTCAAATATATCTAAAACAAAAAAACAATTATAGTGTATACGTTTAATATATTAAGAAACATAGATACAGTTTATAACTTTATGTACAGGTACCTATGAAAGAAAAGCCCACTGTCAACAAAACATACAAATATCCTTTCATTTTGGAATCAAATACTTGCTATCCCAGGAAAGTATGAGTAGGTGAGTTTGAAGGAAAAAATTGTTCCATGCCATTACAGCCAGACAAACAGACATACATTTTAAGAGACAAAAAGACATGTAGACTCTAGACATGTAACATGAGGGCATACAGTGCTTTCTCTATACCCCCATTCACAGACAAATAGACAAATAAAGAGACAAAGAGACATGGTACAATAACACAGGAGCATGGCACCGTGCCCCATACCATCATACACAGACAAACAGATAGACAAAGACACAAACAGACATGGTACCGTAAAACATGAGTAAATTATCTTACCCCAGTACACCATCATACATAGACAAACAGACATGGTACAATACCTGGTGGCATGATGTCTTCAGTGAGTCTAGATGCCGCCATGGGGGCTATAGTGTTGCAGAGGATGTTATATTTTACGCCCTCTCTTGATAGTGTGTTACTCATTCCAACCAACCCAAGCTTGGCTGTATAAAAGAGAATTAAAGTGGGGAAAAAATTGTAAATAACATAACAAAATTTACATTTTAATAAAGATACAATTGAATCAAAATTTTCATCTCTGCAAAGAGTAAAAAAACACGTGACAGATAAGGATATTGGAGATGAGCAGAATGAGGGAAAGAGATATTACAATTATATTCTGCAAAGTACTGTAAAACTGACAGCAAGCAATACATAATTCACTCTAGATTCATTTCAAGAATCAGGTAAGTTAAGTGAATGTTACCGGATAAAGCTTCTTAGTTTAATCCCTTTTCTTTCTCATTGGTCACACTATAGCATATCCTTTTTTGCTGAGAGCCAGATGGACATTATCTTGAGGCACCCTTCTGGCTCTCAATTGCCAAAATGTTCTCTGACTTCAGCCTCCCATCCATTTCATTCACTTCTCAATTAACCCATATCCTATGGGAAACAGTTGCCCCTGTATTTAACATTACAGGAATAAGAAAATTTAGGAGTCAAAGAGTTTAAGGGAAATACAACCTAAATAGAAAACTACTTGAAAAGAAAGCAAAATAATATCATAGAAACAGACTTGTGAAAGTTTGAATAAGATCTGACAACAATAACAAAGTTATGAATGTTTGAAACGTGCCATCACTATATATGTAGTATATAATGTTCATAAACATATTTTGAGCAGTCGATGGGGAATCTAACCTGCGCTGTAGTTTGTCTGCCCAAAGTTTCCATAGAGACCAGCAGCCGATGATGTCATGATGATGCGGCCAAACTTCTGTTTCTTCATGTGCGGCCACGCTGCTCGGGTCACCATGAATGAACCTCGCAGATGGACCCTGTGAACCAGATCTGAGATAGACAATCACATCAATATTAAGAAAATATACCTCAGTTGTTTGAAGCTCCCTTTTATCTTTTTTATCTGGTATTTTTATCTACTCTTCCCCTTTCTGCCACATTTTCATGTTTTACTACTTAATAATTTCCCTGCCATATACATTTTCTATATATTATGTATAATTCAATTTAACTTAATGACACATAAATACCGCACAACGAGAGAGGACTGACTTGACAAGAACCTTGTGGTCCTTTTAAAGTTTTCTTTTTCTCATTTTCAGTTTGGTTATTAATTTTTATGTCACAGTTGCTTGCACATAATTACATGCACAATTCCTTTTGTGTACTAAACTTAACCACTAATTCAGTGAACACACAATCTCTGGAAAAAGTCTATGGTGGGGAAAAACACACGGATGTGTTTCGTGGAGCGGTTCCCTCTTTCATGATAATGGTATTCTAGCATACATTGCTTTATATCTCACTCTATCAGTAGACAAATATACTTTAAAACTTTTTTAGAACCTTTGTGGAGCTTGCATAATTCATAGAAGTTAAATTCTACAACTTTTTATTTGTATGAAAAGATACAACATGGGAGAAAACACTGTGAAAACCACTTTTGTTGCTAAAGCAGACACAGTGTAGGGGTTAGTTTGGGCTATTTGGAATGAATGAAAGCAATTCTGGTGCTAAAGGCTTTAAGATGTGATAGTTACCCCAGTCCATATCACTGATCCTGGCAAAAGACCGGTCCCTGAGAATGCCTGCATTGTTGATAACGATATCTGTATTGCAAAATCGGACAAGAGAAAAGATGGGTCAAAAACTTGAAATTCTTGGTCTTAAATACTTACACAAAACCCTGGACAAACAATTTAGATTATAAAAAACAAATACAATTACATATTATCTATAATAGAGTATCAGTTATGTAAATCTGAAGAGCTCATATGTCCCCCCCCAAAAAAAAACAACAAACAAACATCAGAAAATTAATAACGGTGGCTGTTCAATTATAAATGTGCTTGTATGAGCATATTTATGTCAAGAACGGAATCCAAGAATCTTTTTGCTATATACTTTAATGACCTCTGTTTAATAAATTGTTAGGAGGTCACTATGAACATTATAACCTTTTATCTGCTTTGGTTGATCAAGAAGACAGACAGCGGGCTGCCAAGGTTGTCTATTGTTACATATTCATATTCCACTATCACACATCAATCCTTTTCCTTTTAACTGTAATCGGATAGTGGGATGGCACCCAAGGGCAGTACACAAGACTGATTTATAATGAGGTCAAAACATGAGAACAATGATCTACATGTACAAGCTGATTGAACTTTAGAGTCAAGTAGCCACAGAGCTACAGCTTTTATCTCAAAGAGACAAAGTCTAGTTCAAAAGGAGATATATATTTACCAATCCTTCCAAAGTTATCGAGGGCAGTTTGCACAAGCTTATCTCCATCCTCAACAGAATCTACAGAACAGGAATATAGAAATATAATTAATTAATTCAAAATAAAAATTGAAGTGTTGAAAGGTAGTCGTATGATAGCAATACATGTTTGTATGTGATGCTTACAGCATGCCATGGTAATTGCATATTATATAATGTAAATCAGAGCAACTTACTTCTCTGCTCAACCAGATGATTTTTTTTTTTAAACTTTGGAATTAAATTGAGCATATATTTTAAGTTTACATAAACATATATATATATACAGAATACTATCCGTTCAATATCACAGTAGTGTTAAAGTAGTGTTATTAATTCACCTTAAATTCTTGGTCTGAAATATGCAGTGCCTGACAAAATAGCCATTTTGAAATCGAAATTTAAATTTAAATGGCATCTATCAAAAAATCTGTATGGCATCAAAGAGTAAATACTTTAAAATTGCATACCTGACATGTTTAATAACTTTCATGAAAATAAAGATACCAAAGAATAAAAAAATTACCATAGTTGGCTACAGCCTTTCCTCCTTTTGATCTGATTTCATTCACGACCTGATCAGCAGCCATCGAGCTCTTGCCTTGACCTGCTCTGTCTCCTCCAAGGTCATTAACTGGTCAAAGGTTAAATGGTAATTACATACATTATTATACAAAATTGAACTTTCAGATATAACTTTAATATTGCATAGAGTATTGTATTTATGAAGAGAGTGACTGACAACAGACCACCCAAACAATGCCATTACTAAAAATGACCAAGATTGGTGTGGAGTTACTTTGGTGGTGTGACAGAGAAATCAGCAAGGCATTTTGTCATACTCATATCCAGCAATAATGATTCCTACTCTTTCAATCTATGAAAAATACACTTGAATACCTAAAAAAGCCAAAATATCACAAAACAATGAACCACCAACTTTGTTTTCCTTCTCATTTAAGTCTTTAAGTATTCTATGACTATCACTCGCTTTCAACTCAAGCTCTTTGATCTGACACAGCACATAAACATTGTATACAGAAATTGAGAAATGAGGCTGAAAATTTTAACCAAAATATGTCATGACAGACCAATAACTACCTCTTCATATTTAGTCCTAAAATGCAATCTTTGATAGTCAATTTAGTTATCCTTGGTAACTTAACCTGTTGACCAAATTCTCTCAGTCCCATTGACTTAATACAGGAGCTGACCGGTTCCCATACGCAATGGGTTAAAACTTACCCACAACCGAGGCTCCCCTTGCTGCAAGAAGGAGGGCATACTCCTTTCCAAGACCTGTTATTATAAAAGGAAAGAGGAACAAATGATGAAAAAATAGATTTTATATTTGGGGATTTGTATTTGCTTGTTTGTAGCCCACATGTCCAGTTGGTGTTGAGCGCGAGCCCTGCCTTAATGTAAGTACATTACAATCAGTTCAACCTTTTGATGATGTCGGAAAACCGATTTCAAAATCAAATTGGCAATCTTTAGTCATTCCAGAGGAACCAGTGATTTGACACATCTATTATTGTGTTCGTTCTCGATATTTGTGGTCATCAAAACTAGTAACAGAAGTGCTCAAATTTCTGTGCAAACTCAAAACCAAAAAGGATAACAATGATGATGATGACAATGATAATGATGATCAGGATGAGGACGAGGACGAGGATGAGGAGGAAAATAATAATAATAATAATAATATTAACAATGATGTCTATACAAATTACAATAATAATTACAAACATTAGATTTACAAACATTGACAACAAAAAATGGCAGTCTAGATCTCTACGACTTTATCTTAAAACTATCTATAGGGTCTACATCTAGTAGTGCAATACATATTCTTAGATTGTTCATTGTATATTTATGAGCAAATATCTCCAAACTTGTTTTCTGCCGCTCCATGCATGATGCATCCCCCGGGCCCCTCCCCCTTTTTTTCTATCTCTCCCTCCCCCCTCTCTCTCTCTCTCTCCCACCAAGCACATTACTTTTAGGCTAAGCTGGTTCCTGACGGTTTCTTTCAAATTATCTAATTGCATTAATTGTTCCGTAAAATGCAACGATATTATATTATGTTCCTTAACAGGAACAGTCGAAGCCAAGCGCCCAGGCGCCAGATGAGCTCAAGTCCTACCGATACATATTTTACTGCGAGTGGGACTGGCAACGAATATGCACTGCCTTTTAATTTTGTTACATCTTACCTCCACCGGCCCCTGTAACAAGAGCAACGCGACCGTCGAATCGTAGTTCCTCCCCCATTTTAATCTTACTCCTACTGTGGTCTAATGGAACATAGGCGTAATTCAGCTCAGTACAGATCAATTTGAGAAAATAATTCGATCCAAGTCTAGATTAGATAAGTCACGACCATAGTCCAAAAGTAGGCTGGTTTTAGTCGTTTGCTGATATGCTTCACGGACGCGTACACTATATCGCAAAATATATCGCAAGGAAACAACGTGAAAAACTCTATCAAATGTATACAGTTGTCTGTGTAATGAGCCCTCTTTGAAATATATGAACACAACCGCCCTCCCGATCCCATCCTCCTAAACAAAGAGAAAATTGGTGTTTTATTTTCATTTATTTATTATTTGGGGGTGGGGGTGGGGGGGGGGGGGGTGGACAAAGTGGAAAAAATTCATAAATTTCCCTTAGAACATAGACGTAGGCCTACTGCACGTCTACTCCACATCTCCAAAAATAATCTTCATGATAATTGCAAGCACCAAAAGGTGAGATACAAGGCTCATGACAAGAGGATCCCCATAGGCTATATGTTTTCTACCCAAAATTTGATTGGCCAAGGAGTGGGACGAACAAATACACTTCTTCTATTTAGGTGGAATGTTATTAGTCAAGCGGACATAAGGGGTGTTTTGATCTGAGGTGCAACTAAACTGTTCTGCAATGGTCATAAGCAGGGGCGTACGCAGGATTTTTTCAAGGGGGGGGTTTTAAAATATTTTGCTCCCGAAAATTTGAAAATCGCGCCGGCCGAAAAGTCGCTCAGTGGGGGGGGGGGGGGGGGGGGGGGGGGGGGGTAAGCGGACACTTTTTTTTTTTTTTTGGAGGCCAAAAAAAATCGCAACGACTCAGCCGGCAGAAAAGTCGCTCAGTGGGGGGGGGGGGGGGGGGGGGGGGGGGGGGGGGGGGGGGTAAGCGGACACTTTTTTTTTTTTTTTGGTCTCAAAATTTCAAAATTTGACATTTTTTTACGTATGGGGGGGGGGGGGGGGTAAGGTCACCTTATTTAGGTTAGCCGTGGGTATAATTCTTTTTTTTTTTGGTTTTTTTAGGGGGGGGTTTACATACATTAAAATACCAAAGGGGGGGGGGGGGGTTTGAACCCCCAAAACACCCCCCCTGCGTACGCCCCTGGTCATAAGGAACTATATCATTATTATCATTATTCAAATATCATCATTAAATTTTTTTAAAGGCCAAGTACGTGTTTCTCATCCCCTTTTTTTAAAAAAAAAGGAAGAGCTGTGGAATTCCATTATAAATACTTTGGTGCTACTTTTTTTAAATTTTTTTAACTTGTACTTTTTCGTATAAAAAGAGCGAAACATCCTACATCCTACGACGGAACTGTTCTATGGACAGTAAATAAAAAAAAAGCTTTAAAATAGTCAGTATCTTATTATGCATGTCATCAACTAAAGTTGAAGAAATGGAAACGGGGGGGGGGGCGCTTACAAAATATTTCAGGTTAAATTCCAATTTTCCAAGTGCTATCCTTTATTGTTATAATTGAAGACGTTCAGGAAAACAATTACTGTAAATTTTTACGTTATCTTTTAAGTTTTTTCTTTCCAAACCCAACCTTTTTTATTTGTATATTTGAACTGTTTTTTTTTTAACCAGACCAGGATTTTATCTGTCATGGTTTCATTGTACGATAATGAAGATATGTTTTGTGAATGAATATTTTTTTTCTATTTATATGTATCCTCGATCATTGTAAACACACAATTTTTTAGCTACAGAATGTGCATCATTGTGCTCTATGTGTTTCGAAATAAAACCTTGAATCGAATTGAATTAAATTTATATTATATTGTCATCAAATGAAATCTGACATTCACTATATCCTATTTGGAATTATGTAGGCTATGAAGGAGGGGAAGATTAAGTATAGTACTGTAAATAAGGTTAAGTTTTTTCTGCCAACCTCCTCCCTACTAATGTTTTACTCGACATTAATTTTGCCCTACTTAAATTATGGTATTATTGTTTGGGGTAATACGTACAATTCTTATCTTCATAGAATACTACTTCTACAAAGAAAAAGCTATGCGTGTTATTTGTAACACTTCCTGGAGATCTCATACTGACGTTTTATTTGTTGAAAATAATGTGTTGAAAATAAATGATTTATATCGTTATAGCCTCGGTCAGTTTATGTACCAGTTAAATAATAATACGCTACCATCAGCCTTCAATTTAATATTTATCAAAAATAAAACTAAATGCCCTACGCGCCAATCTGACGAATTTCATCTGCCATTAACTATAGAACTTTACTTGCTAAATCCATATTCACTTACGCAGGCCCGAAGCTGTTAGCATAAAGAATGCCCCCAGTTTAAATTCTTTTAAATTCAAATTAACATTTTTTTTGGCGTAATTATCAAGCGTAAGCTTTCTCTCTTTAAATTTATTTAACTCAATAAAATACATTTGAATATTTTGATTCATTTTGTACTGGCCATCCGTATTCCAGTCGACCCGTGTTATGTTGTGTGTGTTATATAAGAGCCCTGCCCTCTCTCGTTGTCTCCCTTCTTTCCCTGTCCCTTTCACTCCTTCTATGTTATGTTTAATTGGTATATGTATTTGTGCGTTCCTTTATTATTGATATACTATTTTTGAACCTATAAGTTATAGGGGGCTGCAATCTACAAGCCCAGCTTTTCAGCAGTCCCCTCCATGACCAACCTGTTTTATATGCCTATTGTACACTGTGGACCAATTACAAATATATTGTTAAGTTTCATTGTTTTACTATGTACAATGCAATCCCATGTACTTTATTATTTTGTTGGAAATGGAAATAAACGAAATGAAATGAAAAAAAGTACTGAGTCGGAGAGGAAAAAAGTTGGAGAAGATAAATGAGCAGAGTTGTGACCTAAGTTGTTCTGTAAACGGCGGATAATATTTTTTTGTTTTTGTTTGAATGTATATATTTCTATTATACTTTATTTTTGTGCCGCGATTTATTGTATTGCCTGTTATATCATGTGGTTATTGCTGGTGGAATTAATAAGCCTCATCAATTGTTACTCAGAGAGAGGAAGAGGGCGGAGCCTCTGGAGTAATTGGGGGGGGGGGGGGGGGAGAGAGAGAGAGTGAGAGAAGGAGGAGGGTGAGGAGAGAAATTAACCTCAGGAGTAATTGGGGGGGGGGGGGAAGAGAGAGAGAGAGAGAGAGAGAGAGAGAGAGAGAGAGAGAGAGAGAGAGAGAGAGTGAGAGAAGGAGGAGGGTGAGGAGAGAAATTTAAAAAAATAATCAACCGAAGTGTTACTGGCTCTAAAAACCAACAATTAAATCAAACATTTTTTGGAAATCCTACGGCATTCGCCCTTCTTTACAAGAACTTGACCCCTAAAGTATGGACAGGGCCGGACTGGACCATGGCAATTTTTTAGACAAAGATCCGATGAGTGGTCCGCGAGGACGCTTTTAATTTAGACAAGGAGTAGGAGCGGTTGCTACACCAAACGCAGACTGGGGGGTTATAAAATTATAAATTAATAATATATTTTTTAAAGTTACACTTCGCTTTCCATAAATGTATACGCGCGCATACGTGTCCGTTTTCTCCTTCCTGCATATCATGTACAATCATGGTTAACAAGCCTGTTGTGCACTACGCGCGGATTCCTAATTGGATTTTATAGATCTAGAGCGCTAGTATAGTCGAGTCGAAGAAGCCGCCGAGGCAGCTCACAATAGTACCGCGGCATTATTTCGTATGCTCCATATAATGTAAACATTGGACCGTAGACAAGTTTACACGAGTGATCACAGTGAAGGAAGTAAACCACACTTATTCAGGATGATGTTCCAGGCCAGGATCTCGTCTGTAGACTAAAGACGACTTAAGTTATCTGTTGAAACAAAGTCATGCTTGGATTAATTCCAGAGAAGAAGATAAAATTGGAAGACGCTACCGCCGGTAATAATGATTCGTAACAACATTTATTAAACACGAAAGTCAACTCTTGATGACAGGTGCATGCATGCACGCAGGTGAGTACGCTCTGATTATATTTATAATAAATGAAACCAGAAGCGTTCTCGTGATTACCATACACTTGTCTAGCTACATTGGTAGTCTACATGCAATATATGTATCGTCACATTTTGAAGAAGTCCAACGTAGGCTAAGCTATATTTACAATTTACTGTCATGACATTGACAGCACAGTTGAGATTCGTGAAAGTGAGAATGGAGGTATGAAAATGAAGAGAAAGAGGAACGATGGAGAAGAAGTTGCATGCATCTAAATGTTAATTTTTATCAGTTTATGACCTTCAAACATGAAATAACCTTAAGTAAGTAATAAGATGAAGAGGAGGAGAACTAGAAGGAGGACATGGAGGAGGAAAAAGAAGAAGAAGAGGAGGAGGAGGAGGAGGAGGAGGAGGAGATGATGATGATGATGATGATGATGATGATGATGATGATGATGATGATGATGATGATGATGATGATGATGATGATGATGATGAAGATGAAGAGAAAGAAGAAGGAGAAAAAGGAGAATGGGAAGAAGAAAAAAGGAGAGGGAGAAGACTAAGAAAAGGAAAAGTAGAATAACATCAAACAAGATTGAAGAATGTCGGACCATAACTGAATCCACTCCTACATGTACAAACAATTGCATATGGTCATAAATATTCATAAATGAATGATACACGCCAATCAAAACTAAAACAACAGGTCTAAATGACTAACCATAAAGGTATGGATATCATTGTCATACACAAATTTTTGCTACAGACTACAGACTCTTCACACACATCCTGCACATGTAAACAAGTGGGAGAAAAATATTTAATTTTTGTTGTTGAAATAATTAATTTTAAAGAGATGCTCAAAAAATCACACTGTTATAAATATAACCATAATAATTGAGTTCTGTAATTTCCAGCCAATGCTATGAATCCTTTTATGAAAGTCAAAGTTTCCCACCCAATAATATGTGGCTTGTCCAATATTGATATATAAACGGGTGTTTTTCAAATAAATTTATCACCTTTTTGAAGAATATAGTGTCTTTTACAATGTTTACATGTACATGTATAGTACATGTACATGTATGTGCGATACCGACATTACAGACCACATGACACATGTGAGATTTTATGGTGTGAGCCTATTCATGAGGTACATTGTACATGTATGTAGCCCTAATAGAGCTCAGATCAGGCCAAACATTAGCAAAAATGGAAAAATATAATACCACTTTATCTACAAATGTATACAGTGTATACAGTAGGCTTGCGGGTGCACCATGTGAGAGAGAGAGAAAGGTTGAGGAGTCCTGAAAAGGACTCTGACTCGGTAATCTTTCTTGGGGATGTGTAGTCCTGAAAAAGACTGTTTGTTATCTTTCTTTAATTAATAGCATATAGTTCTAAGGAGAACTACATGTACATGATAGCGCTTTGAGAGAATGTATAGTCATACAGCTTCCCCAGTACTTGCGGTGAATGGTATGGGACACCTAATGCTCCTTGCCCCTTTCCAAATTGTGTTGTACAGTATGCCAATTTAATTCATCTTGTGGTCCTATAATATTTCATCCTTTCTGTCTTTTTTTCTACAGTTTCCAGGCTTCAAGAATCTAACACTTGCCAGGGAATTCTAAAGAGAAATTTGCAAGCTTTTGGACAAGTGAGGGGGAAAGAACAAATAACAAATTGTTTACATTTTGGAAGTGAAACAAAACTATGGCAGGGGTCATGAGTCACTTTAAGAAGAACAAAGGACCTAACATGGTAGGTCAAAGGTCAAATGAAGAACTGTGGACGAGGACAGGAACATTTATCAACAAACCAACAAGAGGATGGTTACATATTGAAGAGGAACTTAAAGACCATGGAGGAGTGTGTTATGGTGTGAGGGTAAGTAACAATCATATTGAGTTCTAAGATATTAAGTACCGGCACTGTAGCAAGTTTATTATTTTACACATAAAAATGACTGAATTATTCATAATCCTTTTAATTTTTTGTTTTTGTTTTTCGTAACTGGTTGAATTATGGCCTTTGTTGAATACTTATAGCTTTTAATAGTATGTCACATTCTAAAAAAACATAAATTTTGAGTACTTTTTTTTCTTCTTCATGAATATTTTTCGTAAATATTGCTGTAATCGAGGAAGGAGTCAATTCTCATTCTTGTGTTGTTTGGCTTTTACATGTACATGTAGGGGGACAAACCAATCAGGCTCTCAAGTCTCAATCAATTAAATATGTATAACAGATCAGACAGAGTCTTGACTGTGTGTTTTTGTGAGACTACAGTACCTCCCTTGTAATGGCAACATTGAGAAAGGATCTTAGACTTGATGAAAATCAAAGATTTATTGAGATGGTGGAAACCCATTCTACCCAGGCTATACATGAACTTCAGTGGACTATAGCCAGTTTTAGCCATCATTATACAAGCCATACTAAAGCATACTGTACATGTACATGTCTATTTCTGGATTAAAGAGTGATCTTTACATCTTTGTAATTCATAATTTCTTATATTCGTAATCCAATTTTGTTGAAACTTTGACCGATTGATAATTTCTCTAATTTTTTGTGTGCTTTTATTCAGAGCAATAACTGTCAAAAGTTTGATTTCCATTCACATATTCAGAGGGTTATGTTACAAACTTCTTACATGACTAATTGATCACACTTTTACATAATATTTATTCTATATTGGGTTTACACATATTTATCATAAATATCTTCAGGAGTAAACACTTAATGCAGACCATTGATGACTTCATTAAATAATGTACATGTACATGTAGGGTACTACACATGTACATGTGGGCTTACTCTGTACATTGTAATTGATGTACAGTATGTACACTGTACGCTCTCATTATCATGTTACTATGTGTTAGATCATGTTAGGATGCCTGATGATGCAGACTGACCATGAAAATCTCATTTAGTCGGCTGAAGATGGATGCCGAGAGATCTTTTGAGATGTCGTAATTGTCTTGGAAGGTGTCAGGATTTTTATGTTATTCAATAATGTAGGCTACTCGGCTTACATTGTAATTGATGTACTGTACAGTGTACATACATATTTACATGTGTACATATGAACGCTCCCATACTGTGTAATCATGTTGGGATGCCAGACGATGCAGACTGACCATGAAAATCTCATTTGGTCGGCTGAAGATGGATGCTGAGCAGAGAGGCCCTTTGAGATGCAGTGATTGTATTGGAAGGTGTCAGTTTGCTCTATCGGTCTCTCTCGGTCTCTCTCTCGGTAAAGCCACCTTTCTAGTGTGCATGCATGGCAGGAAGGAAGTAGCACGTGGGGCTCACAATTGCGGAGGTGTTAAATTGTGACCCTAATTGCAGTGCCCGTAGCTTAATACGTAAACACGTGATCATGTACATGTAGGTACATGTACATTAGCTTTGATTGAATGGGTTTTCTTCTGCAATCTGCATTCATAAAAATTTGTGAACATCTTGCTTGATCATATGTACCTGTATAGTAATGCAATTACAGTACACATGCACTTAGCCTACTTTACACGTACACACACAGCTGTTCCTAAAGTCTGAATTTCTTTCTCTCTCTCACTTTTTTCCTCAGCAATTCTTATTGAGAACAAAAATGGTTTGTGGCAATTTAAGATTAAAACATTTTAGGTCATTTTACATGTACATGTACATTACATTGTCATCTATAATATATTTTGGGATAAATAAACCTTTGCCCAGGGCTATTGCCCTTTGGAGCCACTCTCAAGTACTACATGTACTACTATTACATGTACTTCTACTTCTATTAATACTACTACTTCTACTACTGCTACTTCTATTACTACTACTACAACTACTACTACTTCTACTTCTACTACTTTTACTACTACTACTACTGCTACTACTACTACTAGTACTACTACTACTACTACTACTTTTACCACTATAATACTAGTACCACATGTACTGTTCTACTACTATTAATAATACTACTTCTACTACTACTTCTACTACTTCTACTACTTCTACTACTTCTACTACTACTACTACTACTACTACTACTACTACTACTACTACTACTACTACTACTACAGTGTACTTCTACTACTTTTACTACTACTACTACTACTACTACTACTACTACTACTACTACTACTACTAGTACTACTTCTACTTTTACCACTATACTACTAGTACCACATGTACTGTACTACTACTATTAATAATAATACTACTACTACTTCTACTACTACTACTACTACTATTAGTGCTACTACTACATGTACTACTACTAAAACTACATGTACTGTACATTGTACATGTACTACTACTACTAGTACTTCTACTTCTACTACTTCTACTACTTCTACTACTACTATTAATACTTCTACTACTACTATTAATACTTCTACTACTAATGATAATAATATCAGTGCCTTTACCATACAAAGCACTTCTAGATGCCAAAATTTTACCAAGCAGTAAAATAAGTAAAGATTATTCCCTATAGTTCTAAACTAAAGTTTACAAGCCTACATATTGTATGTACAGTAGAATGTGGCCCTATATGGAAGCTACAGGTGCATTGTACAATGTAGAAATGGAATACAGTAAAGCATGACTTGCCAGCAGCCAGAGGGCGAGAAGCAGACAGCATGATGACGATGGTAGGGTTGTGACAGATCAGTTCTCCTCACCACAACCCTGACCTCTGAAACTACCAAAGAAAAACAAAGTTCTCCCCACTTGTTTCAGACAGCAGACTTGAACCCCAGCATGAGACGCTTCAACCGTTCAAAACACAATGAATACTGTCTGTGTGAGCAACCATTTTGAGAGCAAATATATGTACAGTACACCGGTTCCTGAAATAAGAACTGTGTATTTATGTCCCAAATATATCCCTTTTTGGTGTGCAGGGGAGGTCTGTTTGAACTGGGTCAAACAATGAACTTATTAAAGTCCATGGCCAACTTGTACATGTGTGGTGTACATGTATTTGAGACCAGAATTGGTGCATCATACACATGTATTGTGCCGACCAAAGGTCCCTATCAACAATATATCATCCATACTGCTTGTCTACTTGTAGCTGTTGATTCAGTCATGAAAAAAGGCTGATTATATTTTAATAGTGTAATGCTCATCATAGAAATAATGCATAAATACTGCTCATAGCAATGGGAAGAGTTTGAATAATAATAGAGCAAGTTACACACTACAAAGTGTACATGTACATGTATGTACTATAAGAGTCTCAAGATAAAACAAGGAGGGTAACCTGTAATTTGTAGTCTCTAAACTTGGACAATAAAAGAGCATGAAAACTGAAATGTGACAGTTTCTTGGGGAAATTATGATTGAATTTATTTTATTCAAAAATACTTACCGGTATACTGGTCTGATATGCTGTAGGGCTTGACAATGGCAGGTTGCCAGGGACACATTGCTGATCAAATTCTTACTAATTCTTTTGAACTTTTGAAACGGGGATCATGCATACAGACCCTATGGCCCAAATTCACAAAGGAGGTTTGTCGACAAACCTAGGTTTATGTGCGTCATATGACGCGTTTCGTTGTGTTTTTATAAATCCTGAGACCTGCAATTTGTAATATTTTTTACATTAAAGGCATTCTGGTGTTGTCTTGAATCTTGATACACTTTTATTTTGTCAGGGAAAAGAAATTCCCATTTGGAGCCCTGTCAGTGTTTTTTTTATCCAACTTTATTCTTATCTTGTTGAGGGGGGGGGGGGGGGAGGCAAAATTGTCTGCCTCCAATGTATTGTTTTAAATCACTAGTTTCTAGTCATTACAATCTTTCAAACTGGAGAATGACGGGTTAAATTAACTAATTGGTGTTGATAATAAACAAATTTAATAATGTCTAAATTCAATCAAAACATCTGTGCTTATAGGCAATATTTTATGTGGGCCTAATGTAGAGCCTCTGTATGCCTACATTTTATCGCTGTCATGGTTTCCTTCATTGCAGCCTTTTGTAGGAAATGACAGTAAGTCTGTAGGCAAACATTGAGAATTTGAGATGCAAGCCTCTCATCTCCTCTCCCATTAGTCCTTAATCAAAAGATGATTTCTAAATGGACCCGTCTGGGCATCTCGGATGGGGAAAATTGATCAACCCAAGATTTTCAGGATATATGCATTTTCTTTTCTCATTATTCAGCTCCATACACGTACATGTAACTGATTAAGTACTGGGAAATTGTACCGTTAGTTCATTCTCAGAAAGCTTCTAACAAAAAATATTTGTACATTGTACCCGATTGTTCGGTTCATGTTTCATGAATGGGCGGTATGGCGGCTAGATAAGGCCGTTGTGATTCATCAAGTAGTTTGGTTTCAATTTGTCTTGTTAATGTGAATTGGTTTAACAAGGCAAGCCATTTTACAAATATATGAATGAAGTTCCAATCTGTACTGAAAATTGTATGAATGGATACATGTATGTATGGGAGTAACATTCTACATGTACAAGCAGGCTTCATGTACTATACCGGTACTGTAGTAGTTCTCAATCTTACATGAACTACAATGTATATTAAGGAGTTAAGGACACATTTCTTGCAAACTGGTCTATTTTCTATATTTCGCTTTTCAAATTAAAAGTATTGAAATAACAAATTAAATTTACACATTGTACCCCCAAAATGAGGCATTTTCTTTACTTCTTCACACATTTGTAACAGCTACTTTTCTCTTATATTGTTTATTCTCCACCTCTTGTAGAACATGTACATTGTACATGTATGCATTTGACAATATGATATGTGTATGTTTACCGTGTAAAAAGCATTTTTTTTTTTGCATTCTTTATTTCTCCAACAGGTTTACACACTGTATATCTTCATTTTATAAATAACACCACATTGTGAGATGTCTAATACATGTATGCAGTGCTCTGTCTTTTTAGAAGAATGAAATCATTCAAAAATATTAATTCTCTCTCTCTCCCTCTCTATCTCTCTTCATCTCTCTCTTTCAGTATGTTGGCTGTGTGGAAGTGAAGCAATCAATGAGGACATTACCCTTTGAGATGAGAGGACAAGTCACAAAGTAAGTTCTTTATTAATTCTTCTGCTGACAGGTACACCATGTCAGTTGGAGAAATACATTGTTGGTCTGTTGTTGCACAAAAGTTTCATTTGTAAAGCAAATTCGAATAATCATATCCTATCATTTGAGCTCTGTTTCCCTCCATCATTCCCAAAATATGCAACACATCTTAGTAAATATGTCTGTTGTAGTCCGGATGTTTTGTGATAAAAAGATCCAAATGTTTGAGACTTGAATATTGATATTCAGCAAAATTTTCATACATATACATGTGTACATACATGTATATATTTTAAAGTAAAGTGTTATGTTCTCAATGAGTCAATGTTTATATTACTCACCTATTTCATATCTTTTCCTAGAAGGGACAAGACATTACAAGCACTTGATGAGTGCTAATAACAAAATATTGAGTACAGTATCTCAGTCATACCATCCTTCTCTAATTCATACCTTCAAAAATTGTTAGGGAATCATTGTCATGAGGTCAAATCATGTTTTTTTATGGACCAACATTTACAATAAGACCACACAACGAATGCATGTATAAATCTCCATGAAATGAAAAACTTGGGCAGAACTGCATGCTGTTTGCAGGTGGTAGACATGACAGTGATAAACAGTGAGGTGAACGTCAACGAGGTTAACTGATAAGTTTGTATACAAGTTTGTACATGCTGTACAGTATACTTACAGTATGTGATATGTACATGTCTATGACATTTTATCTGATAAAGAAATGAATATTTTTTATGACTTCCCTCAATCACCTTGCCAATATTCCATGTTATCTGTATCACATCACTGACAAAAATGCAAACAGATTCTGTTATGTACAGTTTGTAGTCAAAACAAAACATATCTAGTGCCAGAAAACAGATGTGAATTTGTATACAGGAAAGAAGGTTTAATATGAAGAATTCCACAACAATAGAAATGTGATTTAAGAATAAATATTATATTTTAAGCTACAAAATGAATGTATTGTACGGTATATGTGCTTTTTGTATATTTTGCATTTGAAGTTCAGCTACAATGTAGGTCATCGCTTCCTTTCTTAAATTTTCCAAAGCTTTTGCTGTGGACCTATTACTGACAGTTCAACCGGGTTCTATAGAATCTATAGAAAAGAAAAACAAATTACCGTCAAGTTAGGGATTTTAGTGTAGTTCCACGATTCTCTGTTTGAGTATTGCGCTGTATAATATAATAAGAGAGGATAATCAACTGTACGTGCCTTTGAAGCAAGGTCAAGATGGATCCCATCCGGTAATCATATTAGAGCATGAAAATCACACCTGCCTACATAGAAACCCAGACAGCATGGAGTCTCTGTGGTAACCCAGCGAGAAGAAATTCTCTAGTTGCGTTCCCACTGGCTCTCACAACAAACGCAGAGTCCTGTGTGACAAGATGTCTTCATGTGACAGTGCTCAAACCCTTCACAAGGCTCATAATACATTGTACATTTTACTGGGGGCAGTTTTGCCTTCTGAAACTACTGGAAACACCCCCTTAGGTTTATAAGTACAGTATACAAATGATGCACAGTTTTGAGTGCGTCGGTAGGGATTATGTGCACAAGGTACCTTTGAAAGGTTTGAACCCACGAGGCACAGCCGAGTGGGTTTTAGACCAAATTCAAAGGTACCGCGTGCACACAATCCCACCGACCCATGAATTAAACCTGTGCATCATCTGTTTTATAAGATGGGGCCCCAAAAATTGTCAAAAATACAAAATGTTATTATTTTACAGATTTACCGGATGCATGGCGAAATCATGCGTCCGGTAATTTTTTTTACCGGGCGCATGATATTTTTATCGGACGCATGATTTTTAAGTTATCATGAAATTTAAAAAAAAAAAAAAAAAAAAAATTGTCATTTGAACAAAAAAAAAATAATAAAGAATTTGAGAATTTTTTTTTTTTGAACAGATTATAATTATCAAAAAACATGATAAACAAATAATTATCACCAAAAAAAAAATTATCACAAAAATCATTAAAAAAAAAAATATATAAAAAAAAAATTTCTCAAAAAAAAAAGAAAAAAAAAAGGGGAATTATTAAAAAGAAAAGGATATCGGTGGTATCGATGGTGGTATTGATCGCGGGCACCCAGTAAAAATAATTACATGGTAATTGACCAATCAGATTGCAGGGATTCTTCTACCCATCTTATAATATTGCTTGGAATAAAGAAGTCACACCAAAGTACATGTAAGTACCGGTACCTCCTGGTTTCTGTTTTTTTCCCGGTAGGATCACTCTTTTCTTTAATTAAAAAAAAAAGAGCCCACAAATACCGTTTAGAGAATTACTGTACTTGCAGCAAACAAAAAATGGGTTATGTTCTCACAGTTCACAGCTCTACATGTAACTGTAGATTTGATGAGTGTGAGAAAATTATTAAATCTTTTTTGATTTTCGAAAGAGGAATTCCTGGGAGGTGTTTCACAGAGATCCTAAGTCGAACTTATCTCTAAGTTGGACTTAAAAGTTATGGAAAGCCATTAGCATCCTTGAAAATATTTTGTAAAAGTTATTTTAAAAGGCATAAAATGTTGATTCAAATCATTCATATTTTCTATTATCATGGGAGATTTCATGTTCATGATGTGGAATTTATGGAAAGTCTAAAATACTTGCTTTTTGCTTTTGAATATATTCTATTTTAAGGCTACAAATGGCTCTCCATAACTTTTAAGTTCAACTTAGAGTTAAGTTTGACTTAGAATCTTTGTGAAACACCCCCCTGGTGTTTCAAGCCTGTTCTTGTCAATCTTGCAGCTGTATTCTTGGTGCATGACTGCATTTACATACCCCGTGTTGTGCCACTTAACAAGCTAATTTCCAAATCTTTTCTGCGAAAATTGAACATCTGGTAGATTTCCAATTCAAGTTCTTAGAATTTTCTTAGATAGTCTCAAGACATTCTTGACCCATTTCCTTCATTTAAAAATGTAAGCCAGGAAATTACGCATTAATTTAGTACCGGTAGTTCTAATATCTGGTATCAGTTTCATATTGCTTATTGACTTTTTAATTGCTATCTTTTTTAAACGAGGATTGTTGATTTTTTTTTCATATTAATTTTTGTATATCATGAATTCAAATCATTTATTTGAATTAGCATTGATTAATAAATATACAAACTCTGCGTAAAACGAATCTACTGAACAGAAATAAAAATATGCTTATTTTACATGAAGTTTTTTTTTTTTATATAGGCCTATACACTGTACACTGTGTAGGCCTTCAGAAAGATATTATAGAACTCAGTTTGCACTATGGTGTAGTAAAGGCAAAATGTAACCCATAGTGCTTTACAGCTTTGCCAATACTGCAAATAATGATATTCTGATCTCAAAAGAAGCCCTGGAAAGTGCATTTACTTTACGGTATGCAAGGCTGATTCTTGATATATTATAAAGTCTCTAAATTTCACACTCGTACAGACAATTCCATTCACTTTGTCAGACTCGGTCGTGATTACCAGAATGACATTATGTCTATCCCTGTCAATCCGTTCCTTCCACATGGCAGGCTGTAAGCATGTTCTATCCTTGAAGGATGTGACATATCACATGCCAGTGAACTAACGCGGATGTAACTCTGGGTATCTTACCTTATCCTACAAGCGCACTTGAATTAATAGGCTTACTGGGAATAAACTCTCTGCACAGAGTCTGCAGTGAAGTCAAGGAAGGGGCAGGATATATCGAGGAAGACAACCATGCTCACTATAAGTTACCTACATGTAGTGAAAACAAAAAATTGTCTCATTGTTGATCAAAATGTATTTTTCTCCCCAAGGAAAATTGCTTTGCCTTTTTTTATATATACATAGTTCTTTCTTGATAAGAATATTTTTAGAAATCATTTGTAGAAGCTTGAAAATTCCTGAAACAAATGAAAATGTTTACTTGTGTACCCGGTACCTGTATGTAGTGTACAGTGTCCATGTGCATGTACAGTAGTTTGCAAAAGCATTCTTATTAATGAATGCTCCCTTGTACAGTTTTTAACACTACAGTTTGCCTTCTGAAAATGTACAGTACCCTCCCCAATCTTTCACTAATTGCTTGGCTTTGCTGCCTGTGCTATGTGCACTTTAATTTAGTCTGGGGGAGCTCGGGAAGTGAAAGGAAATAAGATTATTCCTAAATCGATTTAATGATGAACGTGCTGTGTAGAAACGAGAGAGCTCCGGAATGTATTTTGAAAAGTGTAGGCTCTAGAATGACTAGATACCGGTACTTCAATTTAGAATTTGTAGTGATCTCTTTTCTTCTTGAAAAATTAGTCTTGTACATGTGGGTGTAGAATGAAACATCCTCATGAGATAAAATATCCTCATTTCTAAAAAGATGAAAAAATTCTTGAAGTTCAAAACAAATTAAATCTACATGACATGAATGACGGTAGGATCAATTAAGAATCCATTACTTTTTGCTGCAAGTTTTTGCTTGAGTTGAAGAACATGCACTATATGAGTTTTAATTGAATTTCGTAGATTCAAATTGAAATTCCTCAAATATTGAGACTGGTTGTCCGGTCCGACAACCTCCGCTAATGGCTTAAGTGCTAGAATTTTGCTTTTTAATTGGCTTTTGCACTTGGTTCTGCATACAATGTATGTGACACGTATCCTCAGCTGAGCACCTACATGTATCTTGTCTGTGGCAGGATCCTGAACGTACCTGTACTATTGTTTGTTGAAAGATTCAATTATCCGCTCAGGAAAACAAGCAATTGTGGTTTCTCCAAGCCAATTATTTGATGAGGAAGGGATGAGTATCTGCCTATTAAATGAATAGGCACTTGTAAATTGCAAAGAAAAGAAATGAGTGAATTTCTTGACAGTCTGTGCAAGGACTGCAGTCTACAATGAACTGAGCACTAATAATAATATTGGGTTCTTGTATAGTGCCCATGTCTGGCATATTTGACACTCCTGGCGCTCCTGATTATTACCCATTACAAAATACATATGTATGAAACTGATAGGAAGGAGTCTGCGAATATTGGATTCTAAGACTAAGGCCCGTATTCTATTAAATTTAAATCCTATGCTTGGCGTCATTTTTTGTTCAATAATTCGGTCAATAATTGCGTTAAAGAAAGGACGTTAGTCTGGGATGTAAATTTTACTTTGTTAAACATGATTTTAGATCAGAGACTGGGTTTAACTGAATTAGTAGAACTGTAGAGTACGGACCTAAATGTTTTGGCTTGATCCATATCACATGATCAAAAAGACTGGTCTGCAGGGTTTAAATGTACATATTATGTACATGTCTGTTCAATTGATTGTTTCTGAAAAAATGGCTTATGAGATTGAGAGAATCTTCAGCAATTGTTGGTGATAAACAATCCTAAAAAATAAATGACAAATAAATGAACAACCTGTAAATATTCATAAAATTGTATATGTAATACTAATATGCAGGTAAATGTATGAAAGAGAACTGGGGCAGCATTTCACGACCCCCCCCCCCCCACAAAATAAAAAGAAGGATGATAAACAAACAAAAACATGTAAGTTAGAGTAATGCCTTGTGCCTGTATAAAGACTGTGTCTAAAGAAACCATGTTATTCTTCTTCTTCTTCTTTTATGTCTTTACAGAGAAGCTATCTTCAGAATATGTGACGCAGCAGGATTCAAGTATACAAGAAAGAAAAAGGTAGGATCAAGAAAGATTTATTATTGTCTTTAATGTAGGTTTTATTAATACTTCAAGTAAAGTCCACTAAAGGTAATCTTGAGTTTTTATGGAAAACCAATTCTCACAGAATCATAGAATTAGAGTTATATTGCATTGCCAATGATATCTGTTGAACGATTGTGGCATGAGTTAATGTACATGTAGTGCAGTAAGGAGAGATTAAGGAAGATGAGGAGAGATTTACATGTAGGCCTATTAAAGGTAAAGACCAGTATTGGAAACGCCCCAATTTCAAAAAATGAAATGGAAGCTCTTATTACCAATCATGTGAAAGAATATGTTTTGACTAATACATTATGATAACATTTTTGCCGGGAAACCGCCTACTAATTGATATATTTGGTAAATTAGTTTATCTATTGGTATGTGAGAGATAAACGCATGTGTCGCGCACGTGTGCGTATAGTCCCATATACATCTTTCTGTGTACAGTGCTTGTAACTTTACCAAGACTGGGCCAAATTTCTTATCATTTTGATGATTCCAGAACCTTGCAGTACACACCAATACTTAATGCTAGATGATCAACCTTTTCTGATCGATTCCACAACGTTTCTTTTACAATGCAACCGCATGACCATAAATGGTCTTTATCTTTAATGTCTGATGAGGGTCAAGTTGATACACTGTATACAATTATATACATGATTGATTATATCAATCAGTGCACTAATTTCATGGAAACTAAACTGTTAAATGCACCTGTAAAACCTCAACAGTCATTAATTCAATTGCTTTGTCTAAAGCATTAGATTTTAAATGGTATAATAGTATTTTATCAAGTGCTTAGCGAAAGTGAAACTATCGCCTCCTTGACGTGAGAGTGTAAGATAGTTTGCCTTCCAGGCCATTATGATTGATCTTTTTTGATCATAAAAAAATTAAGTTGTTACAATTGTAGGCTTATTATTTAATTGTTTAACACAGGAGTGAACTTGAATTAATAATAATAATAATAAACATAAATTAGTCTGTCTGAGACCACCTTGAGGATATATTGACCATGTTGGCCAAATATAGATTTCATGACTGTGTATTGTACTTGTACTGACCTCTGATGGAGACTACATGTAGAAAGTTTACAGGGTTTATGGCAAGCTACGTGTTATCTCAAATAATAGCAAGCAGTAGGCTTCCTGCCAGGACAGGCAAACCGGCATCAAATTCCTTTCATACCTGTCACTCCATGATGGTTTTGCTTTCTGGGTAGTGACTAAAACTTACTGTACCACCTGAGATGTTTAAAGGTACTGTTTATAGTTTAAAGGTACATGTTCACTGTACTGTTAACGTTTAGACTTAGGGGTATTCAGTGAAACTTCGCATTGTGCAGAATGAACAGGTGCAGCTTAAATTGATACTTGGGAGTTGGGGGAACAAACAAACAAGGGAAATTTCAACCTAAGTTCATTGTTATTGTTGGAAAGGAAAAATTCTAAATGTAAAGTGCTTAGAAATATATTACATGTAAGTAATTATTAACAAGTATTAAACAAATGTAACAATTGTTTTAAAAAAAGTCACTCTCTCTCAAAATCTCATATTCAGTTTGAAAATTACAAAACTGCCCCTCTGACTCCCAAGTAGAAAGTAAGAAAATGATTCAAAATAAAAAATGTGCAATATAAATTTGTAAAGGCAATGTCAGAGTTTGCATGGATGATCCAAGGGTGTCGTATACTCCTCTCTGACGGGCAAAGTGAGAGCTGGGGTTACCGGTAGTTTCTATCTGCGACCATTTTAAGCGTGTATCACGATAGCCTCACTGGGACTAATGAATGAAACTTGATATTAAGAGCAGACTGACTTTATCCCTGCACACAGTCTCCTGCTTTAGCATCTGCCAAAAGTAATAGGGTTCAAATCCACTGAATGGTAGTTTTGAGTATGAATTTGCAAAATTTGATATTCTGAAAGTTTAAACTTTAGTTTAATTGTATTGCTGTGTATAATGTACCTGTACCTAAAAGAATTGAAGCTACAAATTGCCCCTTGTAAAGTCAAATGGTGCTGGCCCATTATTAATTTCTTTCTAACTTATTAGATTCTTTAATTGTCAGAATTAGAATGAAAAAAAACAACAACAACAACAACATGTTTTAACCTTGTAAACAAACCATCTGAGAATCAGACTTCAGATATTAAATAAGTTACTACTTCCTCAAGGGGGTGATATGGCACTGCTTGTTTATGAGACAAGGGATGTTTGTTGTTGTTTTTTTAATAATTTTTTAAAAATTGGTTTGTTTGTTGTTGTTGTTGTTGTTGTTGTTGTTGTTGTTGTTTTTTTTTTGGGGGGGGGGGGGGTCCTCGTAGAACCCTACATGGAAATGGATCCTGCTTTTCTATAGTCTTGGACAGCCCTTTCAGCTCATACCCTTTATTAGTATCCATTGACCTAGACTAAAATTCGTCGCTGTTTTCACGAAGTGACGGTAGTGAAAAAAAATTGCATTCACTTTGCGTTACAATTTTCCTCACTACTGTCACTTCGTGAAAACAAGGACGAATTATGTAATACAGGGTCTTCGTTACAGGAGCTTTAGCTAGAATAATGCATGAGTACATTGAACATGTATTACAGACCTACAAATAACAAGTACCAGTTGTCTGACTGCATGTGCAGTCTCCCAAGATCTTGTAAAGATCTGCTATGGTGCTACCCCAGCAGTGATTAATCCTCTCAAACCACATTCACCATCTCCATTATGAGCTGACAAACTTACTGATGTACATGTGCACTCATGTATCGCTTGAATGACAAAGTGAAGGTCATTGTCAAACAGACCCTGCTGTTCCCATGGCAACAGACAAAAATATATATCCTTCCCCTAGCTGCTGGATCCAGGTACGCACTGTCTGTCGTGATGTACTAAACTCAAGAAGCTTGGAGATGCATAAGTTTTTCACTTTCATTGAAAGTTTACCCACCTTTTCAAAGCTTTATCTTATCTGGAACTATTGGGCTCGTGAATTGTCTCAAGTTTTAAGCTTCATCAATACTATTTTTACACAAGCACATATAGGCAGTGACAGGGGGGGGGGGGGGGGCAGGGGGCTCGGGCCCCAACCCCTGGCAAACAAAGGAAATGAAAAAAACACCTTTAAAAAATACTGCTCACTCTCCCCACTCCCCCCTTCCTCCCCCTCCCTCCTCCTGTTGAGCAAAAAAAAAAAAAAAAAAAATAGTACTCACTACCCCCACAGAATCTCAACAAGCACATGCTCTTAACTACTGCCCAGGGATTTGACTGAAAGTGTAATTTTGAAATGGGCACAGATTCAGCTGTGATACATGTACAGTGGACATTATATTTTTGCATCCCCCTTAATATTAACAAAAAACAACAACATTTTTACAAGTTGTAAATCTATAGTGTACTCTCTCTTTAGCCTACATGTAGGTCTGTACATGTACATGTATGTTCCACTTTTTCCCCAAAATAAATGGAAAGCCTATATTGTCTGCTGATAGATAGACGAGTATTATTCATTTAGCGCTGAGTTTAGTGTGAGTGTACATGTATGATATATATATTTCCATTTGTTTCTTGCAAAAATGAATACTAGTAATAACCATTATTCGATATATCAAGAGATTTCCATTTACAGATGAAATACCTGTAAATGGATAAATGTCATTTTTCGTATGGGACACATTGCATGGAAATTCCCTAGTAGTTATAACATTTTGATGAATAATTAAAATGAACACAGATTCTTATCAGATGCCAAATACACTGTAGTGGTGTCCGGAAGGAAAAGGCAAACTATCAAGGAAATGAATTACATTTACTTCTTGGTAAACACGTAGAACAAGGACATGTATGCTCCCTATGAATACCAAGCTGGTATCTCTTTGGTTGTACATGTAGCACATGATTGAAATATTGTTTGTATTCACTGCATTTCAAGGTGAATTATTTCTGATTACAATACAATCCATGGTTGTTGGACATTTGTGTACTTGTGCCTACTTCAATGACGTGTACACAGCAGTTATTTCCAGTGCCCCACTTCCTCTTTTGTAGTACACACATATCAGGTCTTTCACTCCATTCTAAACCCATTACCTATCAGAGTTGGGTGGTTATTGTACAAAAATGACAATTTAGCAGTCAATGGGTTCACGTTTTTGTGAGCAAGCAGAAAAGCTTCAAAAAAGTTACTATAAACTAACGGTAGAATTATAGGCTTAACGTTTTGTTTTAAGCTACAATGTAATTGTCAAGGCATTGATCTTGCTACCCACTCTCTACCCATGAGAGAAATGGGGACCTGGTAGGAGAAGATGCCCTCAGCCCTTGTAAATGAATGTGTCTACATGTATACTTCATTGAATGGAGATGGTGCACACATTGCCCCAAATTCACAGAGGTTTGTCGACAAACCTCCTTTGTGAATTTGGGCCATTGTGTGTGTGTGTGTGTGTGTGGGGGGGGGGGGGGAGGTTCAAGGAGCAGTATAAAGATTTTCTGTAGCTCACTCGGGTAATCCCTAATCGCTACCATTATTTTCATGTTCATATTTTCATAAGGGTTCAAATGGATAAACACTTGTTAAAATGTTTGTATCCAATCCTGTTTTTTGAATGTTTGATACCAAATACATGTACACATGTAGTCATAAAAGTTGCATCTTGTTTTTGTTATTCTATTCATTAAAAAAAAACCTGTATGTTATGACTTTCTCCCATCTTTTCTCACATCGTTTTTCTCTTACCAGGCAAGCAAGACAATCTGTAAGATTATAGGAGAGAACCCTAACATTCTATTTGGAGGAGCCAATGTCAATCTCACAATATCTACAGCCAGCATTAACATCAGAATAAAAGAAACCGGAAAGGTAGATTGCTAATTACACTAACTGTTCATATTTGTCATGCTATCTCAAGGTGCAAATGTGCTTTGTGCTTTTTTGGTGTATGTGATTTTCATCAATTTTGGTAAAGAAGTTTGTTTTTATGTAGCTGGTCCAAACAGTCCATCTGCTGCTTGATGAATATATCGGAATAATATTTTAAAAAAACTTGCTTCTCATAATGCAATTAGTCTCTTAAATTTTAAAACGATTGCAGAAACTTCAAAAATCAACCTAAGGCAATTTCAGTAGCCGTGTCCATCGCCCACATGTATTATGGGGAAGCATGACAATGACATGTTGGTGTACCGTGTAACCATGAATTCTGTAGGCAATGCATTTTAGTTAGAAATCAACCTCTAATTCTTGGAAGTCATTGTGATCGTGTTTTCATCAAATGTTATCAATGCAATACACAAGTAGGTAAATTGTCAACACAAAAGATTAATGTGAATTACGTGGCGTTCATTTCCTAAGCATTTCATCTTAATTGAAGGAATGCATATTTTCTTACTTATTTTACTTATTTCTATTGTCTCGATGTATCTTCTAAATGTTTTTTTTCTTCCATATTTGTAATAATTATTACCGGTATGCCAGTTCATTTTTATATTCCAACCCATGTATTTCACAACTGCCCTACATGTATCTTATGAATGCACACGCACCCACTGTATTCTAATTCATTTGCAAGATGTAGCATTGATGCAATGAGAAGTCAGTTGCTTATTGGAGAGTCATTGGAAGGAGAGATAATGACATCCACAGATGTGTTTATAATGATGTAAATTGAGTTCCGAGATAGATGGATGACAGTCGTCTCAATTACAAAACATCGCTGGAGTTTCATTTCCAAGTTTATGGTGAAGCCCTGTTCATACATGGGTGTTAGCCACATCAACAAAAAAAAGAAGAAGAGAACTGTTCATACATAATGTGAATGGGAAGTGGGGAGGAAATCAGTAGCTTTACTGTGAATAACTTCATCGCTTGCCAAGAGCCAGAAGGGCATGATTTAAACTATAGCACTTTATATAGAGTTAAAGGGAAAGTCCACCCTGAAATTAAGTTAGTTTTAATAGGAGTAGAAAAATGAGAGAAACAAGTCAGTGAAAGTTTGAGCAAATTCCGATTAAAAATAAGGAAGTTAGGATTTTTGAAGTTGTGATCAATCAAACACAAATTGGCAACTCTATGACGTATCATGCGAGCTCAACTTCCATTTGCTCAGTACTAAAAAAATCTAAAATTTTCATTTTCCCTCAAGAAAAATTTCAACCGTACATGCACCCTAAATATAATAATTGCAAATATGTTTCTATATTCCCCCTGCAAGGAACAAATATATATTCCATCATCAATAACGAAGAAAACATGATTTTATGGAATATTATGCACAAAGCAAATGAGGGAGAGCTCGTATAATAAGTCACAGAGTTGCCAATTTGTATTTGATTGATCACAACTTCAATAATTCATAACTTTCTTATTTTCATTCAGAATTTGCTCAAACTTTCACTCACCTGATTTTCTTATTATTCTGCCTCTATCGAAACAAACTTATTTTGGGGGTGGACTTTCCCTTTAACACCTTTCTGTCTCTAATCTTAGCCAAATAAATATGAACATATTAAGCATATGTACAGTACATACACAAATACACATGTTCATACATACATACATGTACATGTATGTATTTGTATACTTGGACCTACATACATGTATGTATGTGTACAATGTATTATCAGCTGCAGAAATTCAAGGTGCCCTTACCAGGTATTTTTTTAAATTTTTTAATTATTTTTTGTTTGTTTTTGTGTGTGTGTTTGTTTGGGGGGGGGGGGGGGGTTCCTGCGCCATATGTGAACAGGGCATGATGGATGTATGCATTAAACTCCTTTGACCAGTGAATAAGACATCCTATCTTGACCTTAGTCTACTTGACCCCCTTACTACAATGTACATGTAGGCTATCTATCACAACTTGATATTTCATATGATCGGCCATTTAGGCCTGTACCCTATATTTACAGATGTAGTTATAAACTTGTAATGGTACTGATTATGACCAGAAATAATCTGCTTCTCTGATTTGTCTGCTTTCTTTTAAAGTAGTTTACTATTCAGGTTATATTTCCCTTTTAACCTGATACATTTGGCCTAGACTGTATGCCCTTTTACTCTTGTATGCCCTTTTACTTACGTTTTAGGGGGGGGGGGGGTAGTACTGAAGATTCTATTGATTTTAGGGAAACAGTGCAAATTGTATGTATTGGGAATTTTAACTGGAGAAAAAAAGTGCATTTCATTTTCATTTTCATTTTCATTTTCATTTTCATTTTCATTTTCATTTTCATTTTCATTTTCATTTTCATTTTCATTTTCATTTTCATTTTCCTGTTTTCATGGCGCACTGCAATCATTGTGCCATCTTTATTCAGGGATGTCCTGATCATTGGTGTGTGATCTCCAGCTCAATGCAGTTGTGATTAACTCTGGTTTCAGTTCAAAGAAACGGGTTCAAGGCCATTTATACAGTATATCAAAACTTAAAGCCCCTTGTCAGAGATACACAAATAAGAAATTCAAATTCTAGATGGACATATCACAAAGGCCTATATTTTTCTATCAAAATTCAAACCTGATCCTGGATTCAGAGCCTTAGGCTTTTGTTCAAATTGGTTTGAACAAATAGAGTTCCCTTTAAACCTGGTAAATTGGCTTAGTTTAATTGTATGCCCTTTTACTCTTGAATATTTTTTTTTTTTTTTGGGGGGGGGGGGGGTAATACTGAAGATTCAATTGATTTTTGATAGGGAAACAGTGCAAATTATACTGTTCGGAAGAGGAATTTTAACTGGAGAACAAACTGCACTTCATTTTCATTTTCATTTTATGGTGCACTGCATTCATTGTGCTATAGCATACAAAACATGGATACATTTTGTGGATGACAAAATAATAATGATACATGTACATGAAATTGATTTTTGTTTGATTATGGCTTGTTCGTCTCCTTAAATTATGTAGTTTTACTGTATTCATAAATAATTAAACAAAAAAACAATACACATATTTACCTTGCACAGCTACCTATGAAATCCCCAGTTTGATATGTGCCCTAATTATTTTCCTCTCTGTCTTTTTGTCTATCGTTTTGAAGAAATGTGTTACAACATTGTAGAATTTCAAAAGTTATCAGCTGCAGCATGTACCTCTCATATCCCCCTTTGTATACATGTATGTACTCTAATGATTTTCTTCTTTTCTTTTTGTATATTTTTTGTGACTTTCAGCCAATAGCCAACCATCAGATGCAGGGCATCTCGTTTGCATCAGGTGGCGATGCTGTAAGTACATTTATACCTCTATTAACTTCCTTCATTGTACCTTACATGTTTCTTTGACATCAATGTGACATGGCAGTACATTCATATTGGTTTCATAGCCAACTAAGTTTTTATGTACATGTACTTGAGATTTAATCATTCTGTATAAGAATAGCAATCAATGAACCAATGTCATTATGTACTATGCGATTAAAAAAAAATAGTCACTTTATGGGAATACTCATTGGTAAGATCTGCTATATAGAAACTATTAGATTAACATATATAAAGTAGACTGAAACTATTTGATGAGAAGAGTAGACTGAAACTACCTGACTGAGAATCTGGTGTAGTGCAGGTAATTACAACTTAATTACCGGTATTCTTTCTTGTGAGACAACATTATTGAACAAGTACGATTTAACACAAGAAGATTTCTGTCTCTAATGATCTTCTGAACTATAGGTGCATATGGTTTTTCTTAACTCAACGTATCTTATAACCTAAGCCCAAACTAGTCATTTTAAACTCTTATGCTCATTGGAAGCCTACTCATCCTTCCCTTTAAATGTGAAAACATGAGCAATTACTGATAACCAGTAAACCGTTTTGATGTATGTATAAACCCTGGGCCATGTCTTGGATAGGACCCAAGTCTTTCACTCGATCAGGGAGGAATTTAACACACGTGTTACCACAAGAGGGACTTCAAGGTGTTAGAATGGCAACTGATTAATAAGCCTACATATCTTTATGGGCTTCATAAACAAGTTTCTGGCAATGCTCATGTTACATACATTGACACGTTGCTCCATGTACTGTGTTACTGAATTAAATTCATGCTACCCTCATCAATCTGAATCTGGCTTGAAAGGAATGATGCATTTTGATACTTTGAACTACATTATTATACATGCAGACCATATATTTTAATAGTTTCTTGTGACCTTAGACTAGTATTGAAATATGCTGTGATTGTCAGTCTTAAAGTTACATATAAGTTACTGTATTTTCAACATCCTTAGAATAGAAGTCAAAGAACTAAGAATGAGAAATTTCATGAGAATTCTGAATTGATATGATGCTGAAGATTTTGTTGTTATGTCAAAGGATATTATGATTTTTTTGTCATAATATTAGATGAAATTTTTGATTATAAAAGATATTGCAATTTAAAACAGATTTTTAAACTTCATTTCATATACTGTGTATTAATATCTAGTTGCTTAAACTTTGCTAGAATGAAAGTATGTTGAATCAGCGCCAAGTACTTGATCAATATTCAATAGTGATAGTCCCTAGTACGATAACTACATCCCTAGTAATGTGAATATGAGTGGACCAAGGTTATACATTAAGTGCCAATGTCATTAATTTCTCCTGATTTTTCATTTGGGAAGACATCTAGGAGTAAAACAGGACATCCTGTTATAGGATAGCGTTGTTATCTTCCTGTCCAGAGGGTACACAGAATACTACACGTATATACTAGAGTATAGTAATAAAGAAAGTAATTACATGTTGTTGTCTGGTGTACTTTCTCAATCCTTCCTGTTCAAACTCTGATTTATGACATGGGTCTTATTTTCACACAAAAACAAGGAAATATGCCTGTTAGGAGGTCTTTTTACAATACATATTTGATTTCTTTATACAATTTTCCTTCACTTTGATGGCTTCATTTCCCTTGTTATACCTTTTCCGTATTTTTCCTTGTATCTCTAATTTCCAATGCCTCTGGTATATTGTTAATACACCGCCATAGCTACATGTACAGTATATGAATGCTCAAGGTTTATAATAAATAATAAATAATATTATTAATATAATAAATATATATATACAAATATATATATCAAGGCCCTATTCCTTGCAAGCTGCCATTCCTGTACATGTAGATTGATATTTTTATATTTGATTTCTATTTTTTCTTGAATCTATCACTGTCATTTTTGTTTCTTCTCAAATTATAATGTTGTATTTCTTGCTTTCATCTTGAACCTACATGTAATATGCATATGTCCTCTTTGTATTCTTTCTTATCACTTCATCACACCATTTTAAGGATGAATAAGTAGGGTGCTTTTCAGAGTTCTTTAGGTGGCTTTTCTCCACACCTGGAGTTATCAATATGCCCATGTCATGTACACAGAGCCCTTCAGTGATTGAACAGTCATCAATAAACCAGCAGCAGTTGTTCTTTATTCATCAAAAGAGAGATTTACTGCTCATATTAATAGATCATCTCTCCATTTTTAAATTCATTAAGATCTTTGACACTGTTTGGTCAAAAAGAAGGTGGGATTTAGGAGGGTGTTACATTTTTGTAAAGATTTCCTGCTCGTATTAATAGATCATCCCTCCATTTTTTAAAGTCATAATATCTTTGACACTGTTTGGTCAGAAACAAGGTGGGGTTCAGGAGGGTGTTATATTTTTGTAAAAGATTTCCTGCTTGTATTAATAGATCATCCCTCCATTTTTTAAGTCACTAAGATCTTTGACACTATTGGTCAGAAAGCCCAAGGTGGGGTTTAGGAGGGTGTTGTTACATTGGTCATGTCTTGTAAGGAGGGGGAGAGATAACAAAAAGTTCTAAATAAAGATCAGTGGATATTAGTTGATAATTGGCTTCAGGAAAATACATCTGCAAAGGACCTGAAGGGAATTACTTCATATCCTTATGCCCTAATGACTCTCACCAGAGAACATGAATGTGTAATATTGAATACTTGTCCTATGACTTTGAACCATGATTGCAAGTGAGGAAGCAAAGGACATGCTTCAAATTTGCATGTGCTTGTGAAAAATATAGAACTGATTTATAGTGAAAAAATGATAGGTCTCGTTACTACTAGGGCGCGTTTATCAGGGCTTGCCACTAGATATGTACATATCGTACCCCACTATCAAACCCCACTATCGAACCCCACTATACGATCGTGATTTGCGGGATGTCGCGTTTATCGTCCCTTCACAATTCAAAGTAAAGGCCTTGTGTCTGCCCAGCTGTTTTGACCCGGGAAGCAGACAGTTTCTCGGAGGTCAACTTCACATACATGCTTGTACACAACACATGGGTGGTCCTATTTGTATGTGAGGTTCAAAACAGCTTTACGTTTATCAACCTCTCAGAAACGTGATTCTGGCTGTATATGTCACATTCAAAACACACCTTTTTGCATCTTTAGATATGCCCATATCTACAGACGTTTGAAAAAGGCTTTGCGTTTATCACCTTCTAAATTTGCCTGAAAGACGTTTGAGAAACCTGATTCTAGCCAAAAATCTGGTCGATAAACTCAACCCTAGACATGCAAATAAGGCAATACAAACATGTTCATGTGTATGGTGCAAATTTGTACCCCTCGCTTATTGTACATGTAGGTTGTGGGAAGTGATATTGAAATTTGTATCCCAACATGCCCGGAATCTGATAATTGGCTACTCAATTCTGTCATACACATTGATAGTAATGAGTTAATTATTTGTACTGGTGTACACTGTAATGTACATGTACAGTTGTAGGTCCAATCTTTACAATCGCAATTTGAATTGCATCTACCGGTATATCTACTTGTACATTAGGAATGCAAACTCTGATTACATTTCAGTGAGTAGTGTCTCCCAATATGAAAGATTAGTATCAGACAGAGAGAGAAAGATGGTCATCAAAGTTGACCATCCTCACTTGTGTAAAGGTATATGAGGTAACACAGATGCTTCATTTGGTGACATACTGTATTACTTTTACTTTTCACCAGTTTAATTTTGACATTGATTTGTAATAAAAAGATTATGATGAGGTGAAGGGCTATCCAAACAATTGCACAGTGTGATTCTGTAATTGAGGATGCATTGCCTATGTTCTATATGTACATAAATATCCTACCTTTCATCAAATGTAAATATTTATTGTTTTAATTGCCTGGAAAGTACAGGGTCAATGCCAATCAGTTATTGCTACAGTATACACCTCTAAAGCACTCCCATTCGCAGGGACTGTCTTAAGTCTATAGCTGACAATCTGGGTCATGTCTGCTTGTCCCCAGTTAGATTTTGACATTGATTTTGTAATAAAAAGATTGAGTTGATCGTAAGTGCTATCCAAACAATTGCGCAGTGTACCTTCTGTAATTGAGGATACATTTGTTTGGCACTCCCAATCAAATGTAAATATGTATCATTTTAATTGCCTGGAAAGTGAAGTGTCAATGCCAATCAGTTACTGTTACAAGATATGCCTCTAAAGCACTCCCATTTACTAATAAACTGTTTCAAGAATATATGCCTTGATATTGAAAGACACATTTTCCATCCCAGGCCAAGCCTGTGGGCGTGCATGTAGCATTTAATGGGTGAAAGCCACAGGGAAATTAAAATTTTGCCTTGTTTTCTCCTTGAATCATTTATAATCCTGTTATTGCATTAATGTAGTCACTGAATGGCACAATGATAGGTATGCCTCATTTACAATGTGATTATCTTTTTGTTCCTCTTTCTTCTGAATCTTCCTCTCTTCTTCATTTTACAGGAAACTCAGAACTATGTGGCGTATGTGGCAAAGGACCCAGTCAATGGAAGAGGTAAGAAATAAACAAAACAAAAATCGTTCTTAAAAATCACCTGATTGAATTACGCCTGTGATATTTGGCAGTTTTCACCTTTGATTTATTTACAACATGCTATAATTTTTGAAAATTGGAGTGGACTTGGCCTGTAAGTACAGATCCTATGCAGTATGCCATTAGCCTAGTCTCAAAGTGCAGACACTGTTACACTAAACGAAGGACAAGGGTTAATGCCTGCAAACTAGAGATTAAAGCTGTGTTGCTCTTCTGACTGAGTGGACACTCAGTACTTACTATTGTTATACTGCCTGATACATTGTTATCTTGCTTGTCTTTCAATTTGATTCCCAAGATGTCACTAGAGAGATCGGGTAGAAGTTGTTGAGGATGAGATTGTATGCACATTGTATGCACATTGTTCCATTGTTTGGGCTGTTTGTCAACAAAGTATCATTGTTGATGCAATAAACAATCACTTCTGCAGTGTAATGTAAAATGACAGTTTTAAAAGCAGCAACTAATAGTTGAGAAGAACAAAAGAACATAGGAGAGAACAAACAAAATTGGGTTCACAAGTCATGAAGACATTCATGTAAGTGCAAATTTGAGTTAAAAAGGCTGTTTGTCAGAGACTAAATCAATCTGGGAGTATCGCACTCTATTGCGGTAGTCCAGATCGGTTTCACCTATCTCACCTATCTGTCTAATTATAGAATATGTAAATAGAAACCCGGTTATATAAGCAGCATCGGAGCATGAGGATACACATGTATTAATCATAGTCTACGAAGACTTTGATTACTTGACCTACACCGAATGGGGATCGAGTCATGCTTTGTAACAGTATCCCTCATTAACCTTCAAGCCACATTTTACCTGGCCTGCATTTGATGAAGATTGGGAATGAGTAATGTTTGTATATAAGATTTTCTTTCATTATACCAGTTAATCCTGCCCCTTCTTTAATAAGTAGGCCGCTTTCTGAAGTACATTTGTTTTGTAGGCCTTGTTCTGAAGTAGGCACTTGTAATTACAACTGTATCTGAGCAAGAGGTACATGTACATGTATGACTCACTCTCTGTCTTATAATTTGTAAACAGAACAGTTTAATGATGGTTATAGTAATATTATTCTAAACAATAAGGATCTTTCTATAAAAGTGAGATAGATTTGATCACAAGTTTGAAACATTCATCAAATCATATTTTGTTGTCTGATTTCATTAAACAAAATTCACCAGTCTGCTTCTCAGATTTGTTTTCCTGTTTAAAGGGGGTGACTTTTTCATGGCCTGACTCGGGGGAGCAATCAGGTATAATACGACTACGGAGATGCGACTGCAGTGTTCACGTACGTACGCAAAACCGAAACGTGAGGAGAACTTTGGTCTGTTTCGTGAATGCTAGCGCACTCTGACCATTAATCAAGTCCATTCGTTTACGTGCAGTTGTTGAAAAGAAATCGTAGATGGCAATAACCAGTATTCGCCATGCTACACCCCCTTTAAAACACTGGTACATGTAGCTGGATCTGAAGGTTGGATTTTCCTTTGAAATATTTGCTACCGTGGCAAGTGAAATTAATGAGCGATGATATTTTGGACTTTTTGCTGATATCTTGCTACCCATAAGTCCATAACTCCTTTATTTGGCATGATTTGGCTTCATTTAATCTTCATGAGTACCTTTAAGATTATAGTGTGATTAGTCAGAGAGCGTTGCTTGACATGTGCTCACCAGGCCCAGCAGATGTACCTGTCTAGCTGCCAACCATCGCAACATGACGGGACCCTCCAGAAGGATTCCTAGAGATGAAGTATGATTCATGCCTCCAGGCAGGTGACCCTCTTCTCTGTATCATTGCCATTGTCACCTGAAAGCTAATACTTCCTGTCTTCAGGCGGCGTTGTCGTTGTAACATCACTCAAGGGAGAGGAGGAGAGATGGGGTGCGTTTATCGTCCCATTATTTTGCCTAGAATCAGCGTTTTGAAACGTCTTTCAGGCAAATTTGTAAGGTGATAAACGCAAAGCCTTTTTCAAACGCCTTTAGGTATGGGTATATTGAAACGCCTTGCGTTTTGAATGTGACATAGAGCCAGAATAACGTTTCTGAGAGATGATAAACGCAAAGCTGTTTTGAACCCCACATACAAATCGGACCTTCCCAGGCTAATTTCCCGTTTGGAGAAATAGCGCAAGCCATGTGCTGTGTCATGTTGACCTCCGAGAAACTGTCTGCTTCCCGGGTCAAACGACGCAAAGCAGCTGCGCAGAGACAAGGCCTTTATTTTGAATCGTGAAGAGATGATAAACGTGACATATGTACACATAGAATTGCAGATTCTGAGTGGCAAGGCACGATAAACGCACCCATGGATCAGAATATCAAGAAATGGAAGGAAAGGCAATCCAATGAATATTTGGAAAAGGCCAGTGGCGTTCATACGACATGTCCTGATTGTGGTAAAGGGAAGGGGGGAGGCAATGCATTCATTGTATACAAACCCTTAGAATTTATGATACACGGTACTTTTGTTTTTTCTGTATGATATTACTATTAGGCTGAGTACTTGTATTACATGTAGGTTTCTATTGGTGATAATTATGGAATAGAAAGTGATAAGCAAGTCATTCTAGAATGAATTGGTTGAGGATAGAGATTATGAAGTAAAAACAAGGTGTAAGTATTGGGTGAACCAGTAGAAATTAGTGCCAGAGGAAATTTAAAGTTAAGACGTACACAAAATGACAGGCAAAGATAAAAATTGGAAACATGCCATGTGTATATAGTCACATACTTGGACGTGTTAACCAGAGATGCCAAAATAACATTGGCACTTGAAATTTAATCTTTCTTGATGAGAAGAGAGTTTCCAATGAGAGCTTTCTTTATCTTTGTAGATTTTTGTCCATCATGTCTTTCTTACAATAACAGTAAAGAGAACAGTTCCCTCTAGGAAAAATTGTATGAGGATACAGATTGTGTAGATTGTAAGTGTGGACATGGATCACTCAAAAGGAAAATTCCTCTTTAGAAAACGTGATGTGGACAAATGTAGAAAGAGTTTTAATAGGATGACTTGTTTACTTCTACTTCATCCAATACTGTAGTGTAATGGAGATGAAGCTTGGGGAAAGATTTGAAGCACATGAGCTAGGGTTTTTGTTTGAATAAATAGAAAAAGAAATAGTAAAGCCAAAGGATAAGATAAATTTAGATTTGGGGGAAATGGGGAGAAGAGAAGGAGAGAGATGGAGGAGAGAGATGGAGGAGAGAGATGGAGGAGAGAGATGGAGGAGAGAGATGGAGGAGAGAGATGGAGGAGAGAGACGGAAGAGAGAGATGGAAGGGGAGAGATGGAGGATAGAGGAGAGAGATGGAGGAAAGAGATGGAGGAGAGAGACGGAGGAGAGAGATGGAGGAGAGAGATGGAGGAGAGAGATGGAGGAGAGAGATAGAAGAGAGAAGAAAATGAGAGAGATGGAGGAGAGAGATAGAAGAGAGAAGAAAAGGAGAGAGATGGAGGAGAGAGATGTAGGAGGGAGATGGAGGAGGGAGATGGAGGAGGGAGATGAAGGAGAGAGACGGAGGAGAGAGATGGAGGAGAGAGATGAAGGAGAGAGATGGAGGAGAGAGATGAAGGAGAGAGATGGAGGAGAGAGATGAAGGAGAGAGACGGAGGAGAGAGATGGAGGAGAGAGAGGGAGGAGAGAGATGGAGGAGAGAGATGAAGGAGAGAGATGGAGGAGAGAGATGAAGGAGAGAGAGGGAGGAGAGAGATGGAGGAGAGAAGAGAAGGAGAGAGATGGAAGAGAGAAGAAAATGAGAGAGATGGAGGAGAGAGATAGAAGAGAGAAGAAAATGAGAGAGATGGAGGAGAGAGATAGAAGAGAGATGTAGGAGGGAGATGGAGGAGGGAGGTGGAGGAGGGAGATGATTGTGTCGATCAAATAAGATCAAAGAAGGTGAAGAGTGGGTGAGAACAAGGATAGACTAGTATGGATAAACAAGATGAGTGGCTTCATCTCATGAAATGTGATACATTGATGTCCTTAGGTATCCTAGCTTGCCTTGTTGAGCCTTGGTCATGTCCAGTGTGGGCGAGAGGTTGGATGATTAGTAGGATAATGATATCCTATGGCATTGAGGTGAGAAGAATGGTATCAACTTCCTCGGAGGATGCTAGATACATTTACATGCATGTACATCTTGTATACCATCTACATGTAGGCTAGAAGGAATAAGCAAGGGGGAAGGGGAGAGAGAGAGGGAGGGGGGAGGCGGAGAGAGAGAGAGAGAGAGAGAGAGAGAGAGAGGGGGGGGGGGGAGGGGAGGGAGGGGGAAAGAGGGGTTGGGGTTGGGATAGAGGGAATATTGAAAGAACAACCTACAGGACATATATATCTTGGAGCAAGATTTTGTTAGGCTTGTATGCAAGAATAGTATTCAATTCTGAAGGTTTTAACAAATCTACTGAAAATTTGCAAGTATCTGGTGATATGTGTATGAAATTTAGAAGAAAACTATACATGTTGTTTCTGCTTGTATGAACAATCCTTATAATCTGGTTACTATCTTTTATCCCTTTGGACATTCACTCTGCAGTAATTAATGTCATATCTCATTTTGAAACATGCATCCAGCTTATTAATAATCATTCCCCAGAGCTGTATCATATATCTGGTAATATAAGTGGTAGAAATTCCTGGGATACCTGACTGTCCCTTCATTGAGTTTCACTTCATGTGATGGATTAAACGTGTACCCTGGTCCCACATATATATATATGTCAGATAACATCATTCAATACTTATATCTTTGTAGTTTTGATAATTTCATTTTTAGCTTTAATTCACTTTCATAAATGCGAATGCTGCCACAAAACATGATGTCTAGTTTGGAAGAGGCAGTATCACATTTTGTTTTGAGAGTTCAACCTTCCATTACACTAATAATAGCTTTACTAAACCAGGAGGCTTTGTTTGAGTTTTTGATTACATAATAAATACTGTGTAAAGTAGAGTATAAATGTCTTGTCAGATAGTCTATTGTACACAGAATATTGTTTACCAGATATTGTAAATAGTAAAGGGTATGCAATTACAAATTCAAATTCATATCTCTTTCTTCCAGAATGGTAAGATCACATATCTATATATTTGATAAAAACAAAAAACAGTAGGATTCATGTTTGATATGGAGATAATTTTGTTTAATTTGTGCAATGTTGGATATACATGTATGGATACAAGTTTGATCCAATTACAATATGAATGTAAAATCGATATTGAAACTGGGGCTCTTTTGGGCATTTTGGGGGCTATTTCACCCTGAGCCTCCGTGTATTTTTTTCACTGCATTGACATATACATATATATACTGGAGTTAAATTGTTCCCTGCTCTTGTTATCAGTTCCACTTTTTGTGATTCTTGTGATTCTGTCACTATTAGAAAGGAAGGATATAATGAGGAAAAAGGTACATTTATGTATGCCCCACTCCTTCCCAAATCACTTTTTCCTGGTAAAATGATCAAAGTCATGAAATGATGTGGTTTCTGTGGTAAGTCGTTTTTTGCATACTTGGTTGCTTATGAATGGGACTACCGGTAGGCAATGACCTCTATATGGTCTAATACATATAGAAATAGAACACATGATGTGTATCAGTTGCTATATGAGTGATCATTGCGGTTTCATGGCTATAGTCCCAGTCTCCCTGGGAAAATGAGAATGGACTGGATCCATGTGAGTTGGTTTTGTTATGGTTGAGGAAAATGAGAAGTGTTAGTGGCCTGTCCTTCACTTCACTTCCAGTAAAGTTTAAACAAAATGTGACAGATTTATGTCAAACTTTTACAAGGTATAAATGAAGTAGACCAATCATTAATGTTCTTTCTCTCTGAACCTAGGCTCTTTAAATTCTCTTTCTTCCTTTCAAAAGGTAATCTTGAGTTCTGGTACCAATGGAAAATAACAATTTCACAGATTCAAAGAAAAGTAACATGTATCCTAGCCGTAGATCAAATGTGACCTAGGCATAATTACTAATGAGTCTTTGCTATTGTTACGAAGCCCTACAATCCCATGGTCTTTCTATGGATAGAATGTAGATCATTGCAATCTTTATAAAACAGGATTCATGGATAAAGTGACTAATTAGCATAAGTCTGCCCCTTAATTGGATATTAGTTTAGATAGGAACTCCTACAACCTCATGGCCACTGTCTTGTCATGATATCAATGAAATTAAAATCAGCATCGTAAAACATGTAATGAGAGTGGACTGAGTGAGAATGGGACTAATTGGCAGTACCTCCCAATGTAACAGATGTTCTGATGGGGCTCTAAAGTAGTTCATGTCTATGAAACATTTATGTTAAGGGAGGAGGAGGAGGGAGGAGGAGGAGGAGGAGGAGGGAGGAGGAGGAGGGGGAGGAGGAGGGAGGAGGAGGAGGGAGGAGGAGGGAGGAGGAGGAGGAGGAGGAGGGAGGAGGAGGAGGGAGGAGGAGGGAGGAGGGGGGAGGGGGAGGAGGGAGGAGGGAGGAGGAGGAGGAAGAGGAGGGAAGAGGGGGGGAGGAGGAGGGAGGAGGAGGAGGAGGAGGGAGGAGAAGGAGGGAGGAGGAGGAGGAGGAGGGAGGAGGAGGAGGAGGGAGGAGGAGGAGGGAGGAGGAGGAGGAGGAGGGAGGAGGGGAGGAGGGAGGAGGGGGAGGAGGGAGGAGGAAGAGGAGGGAGGAGGGAGGAGGGAGGAGGGGGAGGGGGGAGGGAGTAGGGAGGAGGAAGAGGGAGGAGGAGGGAGGAGGAGGAGGAGGGAGGAGGAGGAGGGAGGAGGAGGAGGAGGGAGGAGGAGGAGGGAGGAGGAGGAGGGAGGAGGGGGAGGAGGGAGGAGGGGGAGGAGGGAGGAGGGAGGAGGAGGAAGAGGAGGGAGGAGGGGGAGGGAGTAGGGAGGAGGAGGAGGAAGAGGAAGAGGAGGGATGAGGGGGGAGGGGGAGGGGGAGGGGGAGGGGGAGGGGGAGGGGGAGGGTGGTTTGGGAGGAGGAGGAGGAGATGATGATGATGATTGGGAAGAAGAATTATTAATGCATTTGTATCATGAGATGTATTACAAATTTAATGTATCATAACAGCCATTTCTCACAATTCACTTCTCCTATAAACTGAAACATATTTAGACAATTATATGCCACTGCCTCTATGGTGACATTGGAAAGACGCATTAAAAAAAAAATCTTCTTATGTAATGGATTATCTTTAAAAATAACAATTACATGATTATGATCGGACATCAAGATTGTGATTCCTTACATTGTACATTCATTGTCAAGTTTCTTTACTTTAAATGTAACCTTGGATGTCATGCAATAACAGGGGCATCATGAAGTGGGTCAAACTGTGTGGGACGCAATGAAAGAGTTTGAAAGTGAAAGAGAGCCTAGCTGATCCTGTTGGGACATGGGAGTTAGGCAGCGTCATGTTAGCTATGTTTGCATGGCGATGCCGAAGTTTTGAACTTTGATAAAACCAGAAAGTTTTAAACAACGTTACACTAAACAATGATAGGGGTTCGTACATCACTAAAGCAATGGGTGCTCGAGGTTCTAAACCATAAGCTGAGCAAACAGACCATGCAACACCAATTAAGCTGGTGAAACCTCAAAAGGTATATCTAGGAATGCCTTTAAGCTCAAATTTGAAGGCAGAATGAGCGATGTGAAACGCTCATCGTAAACGCTCATCGTAATCGCAGTTCCACGGTGTACTGTTTTATGCTCACTTCTCTGGCTCCTCCAGGCAATTCTCGCTGGGTGGCCTTCAGCTGGATTCGCAAACCTGCAATGCGCATATGCTACGTAGACCCACTAGAGGTCAGTGCGTTGACCCCATTTAAATGCGTTTACAAATGATCGCCGATCATAAACGCACCTTTTTGTGAGTTTAAGATCGGCGATCGTGATCGCAGTTTTTCGGTGATTCTACAAAAGTGAGAAAGGACGCAACCGTGTTTTGAACTAAACGCGTAACAGATGCCTGATTCTGGCCAGAAAAAGTTGAGCATAAACATACCCTTTATCAGCTCGAAACTCCAGCTGGAGACTCCATCTCAAGAAATTAGCTCGAGCTTAGAGCAAGTCTTCGGGCTGGTGAAGACGCACCGGAAAAATAGCTGGATATTTTGCAAACTAGTCCAAGATATCTTGGGATGATTTCCCAAGCAAATAGCCTGCTATTTGCGCCTTCACCTGCCAAATAGCCCGCTATTTTATGGTCGGGCTAATATCCAGGATCAGAAATAGCAGGCTATTTGGCAATCTTGAGCTGATGTTAACTGTGTCTGCACAGCATGTTACTTTACGTGAGGACCTCGGCTGCTCGTAGCTATCATGCTTCCCGTGAGATTGCTTCTGGTTGGAAACTTTAAGTACCGGTACGCTTTTGAAACCAAGAGTGTTCCACACTGGTCCTGATCAGATTACAAGATAACCATGAGCTGACATTAAAAAATATGGTCTAGCTGTCATGCGAACTTACGTGATTATATGGCCTGTCATGTGAACTTATCGTGATGACGTTCTGCTTTGGGGGACTCTTGACAGCTGGAGGGCATTGGTGGACATGATGTACTCATTAGATGAGTGTCTGTCTGGAACATAATGAATCATTTCTCTATTAATAGATCATCCATAAAGGATTCTATCATCCTCCTCATGACCTCACGCATAGATTTAATGTACCTGTAAGCCCTTGGCCTATGGTAGACATGTGTCACATGGGAGGACCACATTGGAAGATGATACTGTTTGTTGAGAGCCAGAAGGCTGTTAACCCTGTATGAAGGTTCAGGGATCAATGCCCTTCTGACTCTCAACAGATGATGCCATGTTTATTGTCATGCATGTTCGTGTAAATTGGAGATTAAAAGCGAACATGGACAAAGAAGCTACATGTAAAGCAATGTAAATACACTTGTACATTTACATTGATCCTCTTTTTACATCCCACTTCAACAAACATCTAAAGTTTTAAGCTTCAAATGTTTTTGATTGAGGATGCCCACCATTTTTTATTCAGATTAATATGCTTTGAAACTTCAGTCGAGTATCATTCAGTTTAACAAAACATTTTGCTTTAAAAAAAATAATTAAGTATTGACTATTGATATAGAAAGGCATTGATACACTCATTTTAAATCACACTGCACACATCTCACAGCAGCTTTTTAATATCATTTGCAGTATGGAAAATATTCATCCAAGGTCATTCAAGGAAACTATTTTGTTGTTGTTATTGTTGTTGGATAGAGATGCTTCTTATATTGTTACAGATCATTCATAATGTTTTTTCTCTCTTCTATCTCTTTGTTTCTTTCAGCATGTCACGTACTGGAGTGTCTAGCAGGTTTAGCTCAAGATGTCATTACGACGGTGGGTCAAGCGTTTGAGATCAGGTTCAAGGATTACCTCCGCAATCCACCCCAGGTCTTCAGTACACCTGACAGGTAAAGTTTCAATGCTGCCCCCTTCCCCCTCCCCCTCCCCCTCCCCTCCCCCTCCCCCTCCCCCTCCCCCCTCCCCCTCCCCCCCTCCCCCTCCCCCTCCCCCCCCCTCCCCCTCCCGAATGGAAGAGGTTCATGTTTAACTATTCAAGAATTGTGAGGTATGAAAAAAATCAGCAGCAGCAGCATCTTTCCTCTTCTAAAGATTGCTTCTCAGTTTGATTTTTACTGCTGTACTACTTTTACTCCATATTCATTTTCATTTGTCATAAACTCTTAATTCGCAATACCCAAACACTACCAAATGTGTATAGAGTATCATTTAATTAACCTTATTCATGAATCTGGTCATATCCAATATTTAACAAAACTAGACATGTACATGTATTTAACTACAATTAAAGTGTACGGGCAAGTATGTACATTTTGACTGTATGAACAGATGATTTGAATTGATTTAACCCTATGACTACTAAATTGTTTAATTCCCATTGGCTTGATACAGAAAGCCTACCGGTCCAGGAGTCAATGGGTAAATTTGGATTATTTCTTTCTCTTGTAGAATGGAGGAGCCCTTATTTCATGAGGGGGAGTCAGCTTGGGGAGATGATCCAGATTACTACAATGACATCAGTAAACTCAATGTGAACCTGCCAGATAGAGGGGTCCCGCCACCACCCTCCGGCCAGTATATGCCTACCAGTCCAACAGTTAGTATCATTACAACCAGTTATTAATGTATGACATCAGTAGACTCGGGTCATTCTTTTAGAAAGAAGGGTCCCTCCCCCACCCTAGGGCCAGTATATGCCTACTAGTCCAACAGTTAGTATCATTACAATCAGTTATTAAAGTACATGTGTGACATCAGTAACCTTAGGGTGAATCTTTCACAGAGAGATTCCTCCACCCCCCTCAGGTTGGTATAAGCCTACTAACGCATCAGGTAGTATCATTACAATCAGTTATTGATGTAAACTCAGGGTGAATCTTTCAGAGAGACGGGTCCCTCTGCCACCCTTTATATCACTGCAGTGGGATAAGTGGTCTTTTTTAAATAGCTGGTCTTGGGTTTGAAAATAAGCAGGTTCTTAAGCGCCCTTTAAAAGACAACAATCAACTACTGAGTTCTATGGATAAGAATTCATTTATATTCATTAAAATTTGCAGCTGGATTGTGTGGATAGAACTCAATAATTGCCTCTTTCCTCAATCTGAACAGCGCCATCTATTGGTTGAATTTCACTATCATAGTGTCTAACAGAATAGAATTGCACACACTGTACTGTGTCATTTTATTTTGTTATGCCACCTAAATTAAGAATATCCAATTTATATTTCATTTACTTTCATTAGATAGTCTTAGATGTTCTTGTCATAAGTATTCGGTTTTGGAATTTCTTATCTCCCTCTTCCTACTAACTTTTGTTTTTGTAGTCTGTAAAGTCATGTAATACTTTGCATTTGTAGATAAATGGTATTATGATCTAATTCTTTCATATTGGGGGATCCACAAGCATTGCTTTTAAGTGAATCCCCCCATTTCCTCAGAAATTAAGCATTCTTGTAATAATTATATTATGTGTAAAGTGTATTTGTATAGTTACCAAGAAAAATTGAATTTTCTGTTATACCTTTTGTGATAATATATGCAATACCTTTGTTTATCTTTCTGTTGGAAATGAAATTAATATTAATTGAATTGAATATTTACTTTTTCTCTGAAATACTTTTCTCAATACAGCGACATCAGCCTTACACAGAACTTCTTGGGCAGCAGGGATCTGGTGGTTCCTCCCCCGTCGGTCCCCCTCCCGGCTACACGGCCAATCCTCCACCGTACTTTGACAGCAACCATCCTTCAAACAGCAGCCAGGCATCAAGTAACCCCAGAGGTCCGCAGGGCGCCACGCCAGGCCATCAACCCATGACGGGGAGGTTAATTGATATAGATAGCGAGCCCCCCATCTACGGGGCCACAGCCTCACCCTCTAGGAACAATGGACCCACTGCGTTGGATAACCCTCTCCAAAGATCATGTAAGCAGCGGTAGTTTGGTTTTCCAACTTTGTTTATTCCTTTTATGTCTTATATATAGATGTACACCTGTATTAAACAGATCATTGTTTTATTTGTGAGTCTCCATTTGTCCTTTGTTATCCAAAGTTATCAGTGTGTGATACATTTTCTTGTATCCTTCCCTTATTTCAAATCTATTTGAAGATTTGTAATTTCTATATTTTAGATTCTTTTTTAATTCTTATAACTCTATCCCCCCCCCCCCCTCCTAAACCAAACCAAACCACACCATCCTCCCCTGGACAACTACTTCTATGAACAAAATATATGGTGATAATTGTCCTTGAAGGGTAGTTGAACCAGCATCAATTCCTCGATTTCAGTGTCCAACAACCAATCCACCAGTCATTACCTTTAAAATTGTTTTGGGTTTGTAATTATGAATGTTCGTGCTGAAGAAATAATGAAAATAACCGAGTTCTCCCCTGTCAACACACTTTAAACAATCCTGATAAAGTTGTTTTTCCGTATCAATTGAGAATACTCATGACCAGTCACAAATATCAAAATAACCATAAGAATTAAGTAAGTTTACGATTTTCTTGTTTAGATATGTGGCTCATAATTTATTGTGACCAAGAGCATCCGTAGGGTGCAAAATTTAGTCGTCTAACCGATCAGGATCTAGGCCCTTGAGATTCATTTGATGCAATGTTATATTTATCTTACATGGCAACTGTAGCAATTCATCACCACCAATTGCAAAGAGAAATAACACCAGATTTAGAATTGTTTGTGTACCTAACAAGATGGATACCATAGCTATTAATCTTGACAATTCATTGACACAATTTGGCTTACCCAAGCAATTAGGTTAATAGTACCCTTGAGCCCTATCAATCACAGAAACATCAATAAGCTTGGGTAATGATAGTCTTGTAACCCCCTTAAAGCCAGGCTGTATATTATTGTGAGAAACTTATTTGTGTTAGAAAGATGTACTCTTCCATCAAGTTGAATTATAGTTTGCCTTCTGTACTTTTATACCAAGTTTTGTCAATAACTTTATTTATTGTATTGCCAGTATACATGTAAAGCCCCATCATAATTGTGTTATTGTATTTTTCTGGTGGCTTCACTGATCAAAACGTCTGAGTTGAACCCTTGAGCATTCCAAATCAATCCCACCCCCCCCCCTCTTGTATTTTGTGGCATTCGTAAACTAGCTTTTGATTACCTATGCATGTACTCTGTGGTGATAACAATGAGGGTTTATTATGTTTATGTTCAAGAGGGAACATCAGCTCATTGTTCGTTCGTCTTGTGAATATTTCAATGTCTGTCGCTGTATGTCTTATTCTTCTATGTCGTCTTGTCCTTCTCTCCTTTGCTCACTCCCACCACCACCACCACTCTCTCCATTAGCAAGACATACTAGTTCCTCCTCATCCCATCTAAGTCCCCAACATAGTCCCACCCACAACAACAACATCAAGAAACCATCTCGCAAGGCCAAGCGAAGAACCCCGTCCCTCTACGACAACCCGCCCACCAAGGAGGACGTAGAGGCCAAGGTCAAGCAGCTTACACCGGCTGAGAGGAACCAGTACCAGAACATTATAGCCAACCCTGACTGGAAGAAACTGGTTGATTCCGGTTATGACAACCTGAGGATGCTTAACGTCTGGAAGCAGAGCAAGTCGGTGATGCTCCATAAAGGTGGTGACCAAGAAGGGGAATATGCCAATGTTGCTTGTTTCCATGACGATCATGATGATGATGATGACGATGATGAGCATGGCAACCGGAATGATGGGGAGGAGGAAGAAGAGGAGGAGGTTGATGATGCACGTATGCACGCGTCTCTTTTAGCTTTCACAATTCCTTTTCATATTTTCATCTTCATTTGCAGATTCTTCATTATTAACTATTTATTATTTCTTCATCATATTTGATCTTTTTATATTTTATTTCTTTCATTTTAGGATAGCAGGCAACTATTCTGATGTACTTGATCATGCTCTGAATATTATTCATGTTGTATGTTTTGTATTAATCAAATATTTAAGGATATTTTCAATATTTGAATGAAATTTTAATAGCACTTGCATCTTTACTCATTGCCATTATCGGTTTCAAACATAAACCAGCAAGAGGAACAGGAAACTATTTTTGACCATCGGTAAAAATTTCAATTGATAAAGAAGTATTAATAATAATACAAAACATACAATGACATTCTTTTGAGTTTGTTCGTGTTTCTTCTACCTCATTATCAAATGTGCTACGAGTTCTTTTTAGAATATGTGATTTTGAGTTTCCATTTAAAATTTAAAAACTATCAGTTCTAAAGAGAATGTACTATACACATAAAAACTGCACTTTTCAGCATTATGATTTACTTTTATCTTGAGTTTTCCTATTCGTTTGATTTGATTTTAATCTGAAGCATGGCATGAAACTATCTTGAAGTATTCTTGCATCATGCCATGATCACACCGCACGTTTAATATCAACATGTAAATCTCTAATTTTAGTGAAAGTGCGTAATAGTTTTTACGTCTTAATACACATACATAGCTGAGGACTCTGGAGGATACTAACTCGTTGTTGATGATGCTAGAAAAAGAAATGCTGCCCTCTCTAGTTCTCCACACATTCTGTTCCATAGCATACAATGTATAAACTGCCTGCATATAATTTTTGCTACAAGGCCTCTATTTCTGGGAAGTAGTGTTTTTTTGTCACCCTTGGGGTTAGTTTCACAAGGACTGAGTTACATGTCCTACATGTATATGTTCTACAGGTAGTTACAATTCATACATTTCACGCAGGGGGAGTTTGGGGGGGGGGGTATTATCTATAAAATGTACCTACATTTAAATTTAACTGAAAGGCTAAGAGTGTACAATAAAATCTTCTTTTTTTTCCAACAACAAAGCATCTGATAGTTTGTAATGAAATAAGTAACAGAACTCTGTAGAAAAGACTGACAAATGAATGCTTGCATGATACAAATGAATATAATTCAAATCAAATTTGCTCTGTGAATGTTTTCACTTTATAGGTAGTCTCACCTGGACCCAATTGAAAATCGATAGATATTCAACTTTTTACTCTTATTTGTAAATTCCAGGTTTTTTTTCCTTGAATATAAAACAACTTTACAAAAATGTCACATATCCAATAAAATTATTAAGTTTCCAGACATTTAACATGTGAAAACCTCATTTTTCAATCAATCAGTAACTCAATTCAGTGTAAGTAACCGTAAACTGTTAGCAATTTATATGTAAATCTTATCAACACCATAGCTTTATTGTTATTTAATGCATTGTTGCTTTAGGTTATAGTTTGCTACATCCATCATCTTTTTTTTTAGATGAAACTGAATAATCAGTACCGTATCATTAAACATTTTTAAACAGAAATAATATCCATTTTTCTTAGAATGGCTCATGTATCCAGATTGCCTCTGTAGCTTCATCAGTAGCATGCTACAAACATCATTTTTCTGGCAGGGCTCTCAATACAATCAACACCTGTCTGACTGTGGAGGTGTTACCACTTACTGGGGTTAAAATAAAAAATATTTTGGTTCAACCAAGTTTGGACTTTCAGTATAGACACTAGACAGCTCTGATTACCATATTATTGGTGTCACTTAACAGTCTGTTGATCAGAATGGCTGTTCACAGTTGGCTTATCAAGCAAAGTTATCTTTTTCTATTCTGATCTTCATTTTTGATTTTTGATTGCCAGACAAAATGTGACTCAAAAATTCAAGGAATCAAGTGAAAAGGGCGAGACTATTATGGCAAAAGCAAAATGATAAAATATCTTCTCAAAGCATTTTTTAATGGAGAAATCTTCAGTTTTAAAAAAATGTGTAAGTGTGGGTGGTCCTTTCATATGTGTGTAGTCGTAGTGTGATAATTTGAGGTTTTAATTCATTTTTTGCATAGATTTTCCTGAATACATTTTAATTACTTTTGTGCATTAATACTTCAGACTGAAAATGATTTGAGGTAGTTGTGAAAATGTTTGAACAAAAAATTGCAGGAGATTTGGACATTGGCCATGAATATTAAGTAAGCAATTTCACTCTCCATTTCAAGGAAGTGAAGTTGTGAACTCTAAGCCACTATCTGTAATTAAAGATAGCACATTTGTTGGGATATCCAATCTCATTACGTCTAGGTCATTATACGACTGTTAATGACCTTTCAGCAAAGCAGCGTCTGGAAGGGTTTTATCTGGCGATCTGATATTTGTTTAGGCAACATGGGTTCCAGGCTTTATTTCATCAAAGATATAGGGCAATGGTTAGTATTGCAATCTGGTTTAAATTAAGATTAGGGTTAGAATAAGAGTTAGGTATAGTTTTGCATCCATGGTTGAAGTTAGAGAGTATGATAGTGTGGAGCAATTACTGTGGAGCAGATGTCACAGGTGCATGTAGCTACAACCATCCTTGGAGGTTATCTTTGGCTAGTGTAAACAGTAATATAGCAGGAAATATTAAGGATTAGTCTAATGAAAACACACCCTGTGAATGATGGTGTAAATGTCACAGGTGCATATGTCACAGGTGCATGTAGCTACAACCATTATTGGAGGTTAACTTTGGCTAGTGTAAACAGTAATATAGCAGGGAACATTAAGGATTAGTCTAATGAAAACACACCCTGTGAACGATGGTGTAAATGTTTAAACATCATTGTCTCAACAGAGCACTGGTATGGGGAAAGCATGTCCCTATTGGTTACTCACGTCGGAGGTGTTAGATTATGAATATACATTTTTATGTCATTTATGATAGTAGAAAAAGAGAGGGTGAGATTTTCACAGTTCAGAGAATTTGTTATAACACCCAGTATACATTACTAGTGACAAATAATTCCTAAAATTCAAGGCTAAACATGTGGTTTCTTTAAAAGGTAAGATTCCAAAGTAAATTTTGATTATGATTGTAGTGAAACTGTCAAAAATGAACGTGATATAGAATTCTTTTCTGAGAAAAGGTGGTGAGAATAACAATATTTTCTAAAACTATATACGTATATCCAATATTAAGTCCATGTGTTGGCATAAAATGGTGCAACAAATGATGATGTAAAGAAGTTTTGTGCTTCAAATCCAAGTTCTGTTAAATACCACACACATTATCTTGAGGTAACAAAGGATGAAGAAAAATGCCTTAACTTTGTCAAACTCCCTCTGCGATGCAATTTTCCAAGTACATCCATTGTGGTTTGAAGTGAAAAGTAGACAGAGAAGTAGACAATATTAAGTCCATGTGTTGGCATAAAATGGTGCAACAAGTGATGATGTAAAGAAGTTTTATGCTTCAAAACCAAGTTCTGTTACCACATTATCTTCAGGTGACAAATGATGAAGATAATTGCCTTAACTTTGTCAAACTCCCTCTGCGGTGCAATTTTCCAAGTACATCCATTGTGGTTTGAAGTGAAAAGTAGACAATGCTTGTGTGAGAGAGTGATTTTGAAGCAATAATGATTTTCAAAAATGAATGTTGAAGATTTTTAGGTCAGTTTAGAGTGAACAGGGAATACTGTGCAATCAGTCAAAGAGAGAGAAGAGAATAACAAGTAATGAAAACATAAGGACAAGATAAGAGAGGCAAAGGCATTAATTTCCAGTTTCAAGAATTGTTTTCGAATCCTTATGATACCTCATAATTCCAGCATCATTAAGCAACTTGAATGTTGAATCTCAAGTGCATACCTCTCAGAGATACATGCACTAACTTTTTCTTGGAGGTGGGGGGTACAGTATGTGAAGTATTATCGAAAGAAGCGCTAAACTTCTTTATTTCTGCTTCCACTTTTTCCCCAGAAGAAATGTGAAGGAATGTAATTCTTCTTGTGCTTTTAGTGTTTGAATAGGATCATAATTAAGTAGGTGTCCCTGTGCTGCTACTCCTGAAAAGATCTAGGAAAAGGGTCTCCAAATCAACAAAGAGGTGGGGGGGGGGGGGGGGGGGGGCATGTGAAGCATTATTTAAGCGCTTCCACTTTTTCCCCAAAAGAAATGTGAAGGAATGTATCCAACTTTTTCTTGGAAGTGAGGGGGGGGGGGGGGGCATGTGATGTGAAACATTATTTAGAAAGAAGCACTAAAGTACTTTATATTCGCTTTCACTTTCTTCCCAGAAGAAATTTGAAGGAGTGTAATTCTTCTTGTGCCTTTTAGTGTTTGAGTAGGATCATAATTGAGTAGGTGTCCCTGTGCTGCTGCTCCCGAGAAGATCTAGGAAAAGGGTCTCCAAATCAACAAAGAGAATACAAAGAGGGCAAAATGATGGATTTTTCACTTGGAATTAATTTACATGCATCCCTGGAGCTGATTTTTAACGCCTTAAAGGAGGATTGGTCTACTTTACACTTAACCATTTTCCTTTTATTCATCCATCACTAAACCAGTTGATTAATCACTCCCAAGATGGTAGGGAAAGAGGGAATTGTTTTCAACCTCTAAACAGGCAGAACTGTCAAAAACATCGGTTTAGAAAGATCAATAGAATTAACAAATTGAATGCTGACGAAAAAATCTGTGGTGAGAACAACTGAAATACTTGATGTTTTATTATATTACTTTTCCATATTGAAGAAGCAAGTTTAGTCTAATATCTAAGATTAAAAATTGAGGTTACAACTCCTAATTCTCTTGAAATAAAATGAATTTGGGGGAATAGTTGAATTACTCATATCTTTACAGGATGCTACAAGTCTGAGCTATCACATGTTGTAATGTCAAAAAGCATGGATATTATATTTTAATGTCAGGAGTCATCATTGGCTTTCTTTCCTTTTTTTCTAAGCCCGCATTTTTGTCCTTGCTGTATAAAAGTGTTTTTATCATTATAAATTAGAACTTTAAAATTAGGTTCAAACCTGTTCTAGAATTCTAGTTTTGTTCTTGTTCCTGGAATGATAGGAAAGAGTGTTTGTCTCTTTGAATGAAACTAAAAATACATTTTAATGTTATACATTGGCTTTTATCGAGTGTGAGGGTTTACGTCGGCCGCACAATACAGCATACTGCTTCAGGCAATGGATGAGACGTAGTTGGACTTGAAGTAGCTTTGGAAATAAACTAAGCCTGATTTGATTAGGGGTTCTTTTTATAGTCAAGATTAGCGAATTTTCAACCGGGGTGCCGCAAGACGCCTCGAGGGATGCCGCATATAATATACTAAAATTCATAACTATTTTGAAATAAAGCCGATTCCAGGAAAACCAAATATTAGAAACAAGTGTCGGACTGATGCAAAATGAATCTCTAAATTTGGGAAATTTGGGTGATGTGAAATTTGTTTTTTTTTAAATGGTGCCGTGACTAACAATAGGTTGAAAAACGCTGGTCCAGATAACTTTGCGTAATTAGGAACCTAGTATATAGTGCTTAAGGAACCCTTACTAGGGAAACAAACATGATTGTGATGAGTTGAAGGCAATATGTTGGATACTGGTATCTATAGGCGGATGAGGACTTGGAATGGTATTATCCATCGCATCTTAATGTTTCTAACCGAAAGAAGCCCATGCAAGATACTTTTTGAAGACCAAGTCAACTTTAGAATCTGTTACCACAACCTTTGGTAAACTCTCAGTCAATGTATGCATATTTCAGGTGCTGCCCTTGGTGTAACCCCCCTAACTTGTTGAACGTAACCAAATGCTTCGTAGATCAGATGGCGAGTTCTATACAGAATTCAAAACTTGATAACGTGATTACCCGAGCGATCGTTTCAAGCTAGTTCTTAGATCTGGGCAGCTTTTTAGCATGGTCAAACAGTGCTAAGTAATTTCTAAGATCTGGGCAGTACCTACGTGTATGTACATTTAATGATAGGCAATTAATGTAGTATGGAGACAATGATACATCATTTAATTTTCTAGCTTTGTAAAAGCAGCAAGACCCTCTTCGAAAAGACCAATGACATTCCCTGATGTTTTTGAAAGGTTACTTTAACTCTTCTCCTCCATTCAGTTTGATGTTGGTTCATGAATTATAGATGGCATCCATTAGAAGAGTGAGGGAGAGTTTGAAGCTGGAGCTCAAGTGGCTTCAAGTGACATTAATCACCATATGCTATTACCTTCATGTACACAGTACATAGAATCAGGGGCAGCAGTGGCGGATCCAGTGCGGAGCCCGGGTTTTTTAAAAAGATGGTAACATTAATTTCACCTTTAAAAAAAAAATGGTGATACCAGAAAAGTTTAACTGTCTTTCATGCTACTAACTATTTTAACCTAAATGCCTGTCTACGTCTCATACTATAAATATTCCCCTCACACGCAGTGGCAGATCCAGGGAGGAGCCCCGGGGGGGGGGGGGGGGGGGGGGGGATAGATACAATACAGCTAAAAACACCCCCTTTTGCCAAGGGGGGGGGGGGAGGTGTTTGAACACCTAAAACAACCTTGGTACATTGAAAAATGAAAACAAAAAATAAAAAGCTGATGGATGAGTGAAAAAAAGAAAAGGGAGATGAGTTGAGTTAGTTTTCACAATCACAATCATGAAAAAAAGATGTAAGGGAGAAATCCTTTTTTTTCTTCCTGTTTCTTCCTGCATTTATTTCTCAACTGTAAACATAAGGGTAATGAATATGATTTAAATTTGTGGATGTGGTAAAAAATGCAAATGTTCCCTTATTTTTGTACATAATAATGCACTTATCATTCATATCACAAATATGTATATTATTATTTACTCATCACCGTAAATGGGCTATTTTGTTTATTATTTGAGTTAATTTTTTGTTCTTTTGTTTGTTTTGCTCATGTATTTGTTGTTGTTGCTGCTGCTGCATGTTTCTTTAGTTCTTTAAATGTGCATCTTGTTGGACAAGCTAGATCTGTAGTTAATGGAACTACATATGTTGTTCATATAGGATGTTTGGTGATGCAAGACCAAGAAGAACTGCAATAACTCCTCAATTATTTTGTTACAATGTTTTTGAAATTGTGTAACTGACTAGGCCCAGTATCATTTTCATCTAACATGCATACCTTCCAATGGGTTTAGACCTGAACTGTCTCAAGTTCAATTTCATTGTTATTATGGTCATTAAAGCATGATTTATTGATGAAAATCCCCCAAGGTTACAATGTTACGGGGGGGGGGGGGGGGGGGGGCTCAGCCATGGTCCATTATATTAATACTTTTCAAGTCTTTATAAGCACCCATTAGGCCGATACCCCTATAATGTCATTTGGTATTGATCGAAATCTGCTGCATAATTCATTATGTCGCATGACTTTCCATGACTTGAAAGAGCATACATTGCTTTAATAATGTATTTTGAATGCAACTTGAGTGGCTCATAAGCAGTCTAACTTTATTTATTTATACTTTGAGCAGTCAATTAATTTTTATTTTATTCTTTAAGTTTTAAGTTGGCTTAGAACCCATAGGCACACATATATATGGATGAATCGTCTCATAAAATGACATGCTCATTGACGCTAAGCTCCCCAAAGCTCTCTCATAGACCAAAATAACTTTAATGAACTTTATGACATTTTGTTGCGGGGGATATTGTCATACATGTAATACCCAATTATTTCTTTTTTGGAGGAGGGGGGGGGGGGGAGGGGGGAGGGGTAGAATTTTTTATGTCCAGGAAAAAGAAGTAAGGTTGTTATTTTTTCTTTGTATTTCTTAATCAGCTGGTAAAGTTATAGTAGAACAGACACTGAACAACTAAAGTTTATTTGCATGTTTAATTTTAACAATGATGAAACTGATAATTTTACCTTTGTGTAGCTATTTGCATTGCACGATATCATAGCGTTTTACAAGGTGAGACTTGAAAAGAGAAAATCTCAATGCAATGTGATTGATTCTTTGTGATCCAACAAAAATAACTCAACATTGAAATATTTGCCTTCTTTATTCTACGTCTTTGTCAATGCCTCGTATTAAAACGATTATACTTTCAGATTTCAAACATTATGTCCTTTGTTTAGATAGAAAAAAAATACCCTGTTGAAATAGGTATATGAGTAATGTTACTATTCTCTTCCTTTGCATAAATGACAGTTGGATCCATGATGTACGATGACCAAAGACCGGTCTCGGCCAATTACGACAATCCTCAGAGTCCAAAGTTTAGTGACCGTAAGATGACCGAGGCTGCCTACAACGCATCATTGCCGAACCACCCTCTCAACTTGGAGGTGGGTCAGCAACTACAGAGGGCGACAAGCAACGGAGATCAACATTCAATCGATCCATTTGATATGGGTAAGTGGTGAAAAGTCTCTTTCTCATTTATTCATGGTATTCAAACATCATTGTTGCGAGCTGCATAACAGTTCCTAAAAGGTTTGTGAGGACGTGTTAATCTAAGTTACTCATTGTAAAGAACATGTAAAAACAGCAATCAAACCCTTATATCAACTTGCATCGTTAAAAAGGAGTGGAAAAAAAGGGTAAACAGAATTTTTGAAAGAATTTAAAGTAGAAAGTAGAAATACAAGAAAAGGAGGTCGTTCATGGTTGTCGTTTTGATTAAAAAAATGGAGCATAATACTAAGAAAAAGTGCTGATTGCTTGAAGGCTGAAATGTTTGATAATATAAAGCAAACCTTTAATTGATTAATTGGTAATCAACATGTAATCAATACATTTGATATAGGTAAGTTGCAAACCTAAGTCCCTTTATTCAAAATGCAATCAGTGTATTAAGAATTGCTGTTCCGATAAGAAATTGAGGGCCAAATCTCAAATAGTGCCTTGTATATACATGTACATGTATGTAATTCATCTTAATATTTGCACATCTGCCTTAAAGATATTAACAGGGAAAAATTTAGTATTTATTTTTCGGGGGGTACTTTTCAACTTTGCCTGCATGAAAATAACATTCTAAAATTTGTTTTGCATTGAACTCTATGCAAATTTAAGGGGGCTCTTTTCTGATTTCCGGGGCTCTTTTGGGCATTTTGGGGGTACTTCGCCCTGAGCCCCCGTGTGTTTTTTTCATTGGATATTAAGTTGGGTACTGGTCATGTTATTGTATTGTGCAGGGAACTTTCTAGATATTATTAGGAATTGTTGAATATTTAGTACCTGTGAGTATTTGTGTAGAGTGAGGTTTTGGATTCATCAAAGTATTGATAGATGAATTCAATCTTGCTGAAAATCACACACAGTGATTAAAGCACTGCACGCAAATACAGGAATATGGAGTTACATGCACAGATGAAAACGTTTTTGAAGGTTTTCATTATTATTAGCTGTATTTGGAATAGGAGAGCATTTCAAAAGCAATCCTTTTTATTTGATACTGCTACTACATGTATGATTCTGTAAATTGTCATGTTATTCAGCTGAGGCTGCGAGATGATAATAAAACAAACTAAACAGGGGGGTGTTTCACAAAACTCGTCATCAGTGACAAATGAAGTTTTTGTTATAAGCTACTGAAATCCTTGCTTCTGATTGGTTATCAGCAGATTTGTCACTGATTTTTGTCATTTGTCGTTGAAAAAGGCTTTGTGAAAAAGGTCCCTGAACTGCACTTAACTAATTAAAAAAAGAAGGAAAAAGCTTAATAGTAAAGATATTTCACCTTTTCCAGAACTCTGCTTTCTCTTCAATCCAAGAGTTCATGACTTTCTATCACTCTGTAAGGTGACCATTTGTTAGATCACTTGAATACACGAGGGATGAGTTTTGCCTATGAATTAGGTAATATCCCCTCCGGATATACTAGACCTAGAATGGGACACCGGTCTCATTAATATGCATGGACATGAGCAAAGCAACAGATTTCCCCTCTAAGCTAGGTAATATCTAAGAATTCAACCAATAGCCTTAATATATTGTTGTCTCTTGTGCCACCAGAAGAATCATTTGAATTATAAATGACACACAGATTTACAGATGGCCAATGCTCTCGGTGTAGCCTGCACCTCAAGCGATTCAAGCATACAGTATCACTATGAACATAACTGAAAAAGAAAGCGGACAAAATATACAGTTCCTCAGGTAGACAAAGGAACATCCCGTCAGTGCTATTATGTAAAAATGTATAGAACAGGTGTCACATGCATATTCACCTTTTTACATAATAGCAGTGAAGGGATGTCCCTTTGTCTACCTGAGGAACTGTATATTTTGTCCGCTCTCATTGTCTGTCATGTTCATAGTGTATATTGCACTGTACATGGTTTATAAGCAACATAGACACTTACTTGAAGGGGGAAGCCACCCTGATATTAAGTTGGTTTAATTATAGCAGAAAAATGAGAGAAACAAATTAGTGAAAGTTTTAGCAATATCCAGTTAAGTACCGGTATAGGAAATTTTTGAATTTTTGAAGTTGTCATCAGTGAAACACAAATTAGCAACACTGTGACATATCTTGGGAGGTCCTCTCCAATTTGCTCTGTACAGAAAATTTCATTAACTTTCATTTTCATAGTTATTGATGAAAGATTTGTTTCATTTAGGGGTTGTATGAAACATATTTGCAATAATTATATTTAGGGTGAATGTATGGTCGAAATTTTCTGAAGGGAAAATGCAGATTTTAAAAGTTTTTCAGTACAGGGCAAATGGAATGGGACCTTGCAAGATATGTCACAGAGTTACACATTTGTGTTTGATTGATTAAACCTTCAAAAATTCATAACTTTCTTATTTTTTAATAGGTTTTTTCTAAAACTCTCACTGACCTGTTTCTCTCATCTTTTACTGCTTCTATTAATGCCAATTTAATATCAGGGTGGACTTTCCTTCCCTTTAAACTACAGATGAGAAGATATTCCCCTGATCAGATATTTTAAATATCAAATGGTAGACAAATGTGAAATCATTGGCAACTACAAATTCCCAAAGCGAATGTACATATGTGTATAGACATTCCTTTTAAATTACAGATGAGTAGATATTTCCCTGATGAGATATTTTAAATATCAAATGGGGGACAAATGGGAAATCATTGGCATCTACAAATTCCCCAAGCGGATGTACATATGTGTATAGATATCTGTACATATGTCATACAGGTTGGCAATATTTGTAATTTCTTGGTCTTTCTGTGTTTTTTAAAGATATAATACCTGCCAAGTCTTTACACATTACCATTCAGGAGGAGGGATTTTAGAAAAATGAATTTAATTAAGTGTGTTATTGTCATTTTCAAGACAGTGTCGAGAGTAACGGATAGAATGATGTAATAACAAGAGTCCTTGCACGTGCATTTACAGCAGAAGACTTAGTGTTAGTATTTAAAGTTAACCCATTGATTACAAGAACTAAATGGTTCGTGTAATAAGCCTATGAGAATGAGAGAACTCAGTAATCGATGAGTTAAGTTGCATTGGAATGAAGAAAGGCAGCCTATGGTCACTGAAATGTGTGTTGATGCACTGCCCCTTGTGGACTGTTACATCAAAGGCTTTCGCCAACTTTTTCTTCATTTCTCGAGATAAAATGATTACTTTCAGACCACAATTATTGAAATGTATGCTGAATTCTCCTAAGAGCCCACAGCTCTTCAGAAAATTTTCTGGGGCTGTTTCCTCGCTTGCATCGGGGAAAGGCAATCAATTTGGTTAAAGCATCGCTCATCGGGTAGTATCGTTCAAAATGTATTCCAAACTGTAGTCCCCTCTGCCTTCGAAGCTGGCAAACACTTGATTTGAATGCTAATGAGTGATGCGGCTTCCCCTGGGCAGATTCCTCAAAGGTTTCAATGGCTCTTTGTTCTGTACTGGATATTCCAGCTGGGATATGATTAGTTTAAATGGCTACCTTGAGGGCTGTATAAGAATGATTTGAACTCGAGAAAATATAGGAGATATGAAGAGATGAGAGACAGAGACAGAGACAGAGAGAGAGAGAGAGAGAGAGAGAGAGGGGGGTGGATGGGGTGAAAGAGAGAAGAGAGAGAGAGAGAGAGAGAGAGAGACAGAGATTCAATAGGTATTGGATTAGGATTCAATTCAATTCAATTTTATTTCCAATTTAAAAATAATTTACAAATCACTAACAAATACATATGAATAATAATGGCGGGATCATGAAAAGCACTAATTGACTTATTAAAAATAACCCCTTAAAGGCATCATTTAGCAATGTTAAATCTGAGATGTATGGCCCTACGTGTTATCAGTGTCTGTGATATGGTGTAATATTGAAGCCCTAAAAATTAGTCTTGTTGCAAACTTTAAATATCAAGAAGAAATGGTGTTCAAGTGGATACTTATTACTCTCTTTGATGTGCCAAATTGACATTTCTCACATGAAAGTGAAGGAAATGAGGGAATGATTGACATAAATTGCAAAGCAAAAGTCAATAAAAGTGTAAATCCTTATTCTTTTTGCATGGGACTGGGTGTAGCTTTGATTTTACTCTGTACAATACAATACAGTACAAGTGTGTATTTTAAACTTTGAATAACCAAGATGCTATCACCTATTTTTCTCTCAAAAATGTCGCAATCTAAAGAGAAATGGTGAGCTTAATTTGAAAATTAATTGCCTTTCTGGATAGTAGAATTTGTGGCAGATAGCTACTTCATGTAAATGGCAATCATTCTATAAACGGTTAGGAATTGCATTTGATTAGAAATTTGCAGCACTTATCTATAACAATTGTAACAATGTGCATGTAAATTGAATCAATTATGTCAATTGACCACTGTCTTAACTGTCTATTCAATAATGGTGGTGGTATGAAGTCTTATTGATGCTCTACGTGTTATTGAAAATAGAGCTTCTTGAGGAAGGGGTTCTTGAGGAAAGAAGTACCGGTACTTCAAGGATCTAGATCTAAATTAGATGTGAAGATAGAATGCCAATTTAGGATGGCAACTGTCAGAAGGAATCATTGGATTTCAATTGAGCCCTCTCCAAAAAGGTTAATTGCTTGAGCCAGAAGTAGTCCAGTTAAGTAAGGCTCTTTAAACCCATCCACTTGTTGTGATGGCTGGTGATAGTAGAAAGAAGAGAAGGGCAAAAGTTAGAAGGTGAGAAATTATATTGAAAGAGGTGCTGGGTTTTATTAAAATGATTCAAAATGTGTTTACCTAGTGCATTCGGTGTCCTCCTAAATTTAAATGACCTTGACAAAGTGGTGATAAAGTGGTGCCAGAGTGTAGAAGAAAAAAATTGGCTCACTCACAGAATATGCACATTGTTGTAAGGGACATTGTTTTCTATGGTTCAAGTTAAGTTCTCTCATGTACACTATAAGTTGAGAGAGAGAGAGACGTAGACAAAGAGACATACAGAGACAGGCAGAGAGATGGAGGGAGGGAAGAAGGGAAAAAGAGAGAGAGATAGAGAGGGAGAAAGAGACTGACAGACAGCAAGACAGAGGAAGATGTAAATTTCATATATTTTATTAAGATCAGTCTAGATGAAATATATTGTAATAGCAGTAAGTGAATTCTCATCAATGAAATGTACCCATACTGAAGTGGAGAGACATGTACCTATAGTATTTCTAAAACTTCTCCTTTTTCTTTCCTTCTCTTTCCTCATAGAACCATTCAATCCTGAAGCAGCTAAACAGCCCTCCAACCCTTCTGCAGGAGGTGGTGGTGGTGCCTCTGGCCTCCATCCTCATGACATGGCCCCACCCACAAACCCGCTCTACAACGAAGAATGGTTCCATGGGCCTATGAGTAGAAAGGAAGGGGAGCCATTGCTCAGCAACGATGGTGACTTCCTGGTGAGGGAGAGCACGACGGCCAAGGACCAGTATGTCCTGAGCGGGATGCAGAATGGAACACCTAAACATCTGCTTCTGGTGGATCCTCAGGGCAAGGTAAGTCATACCTCAGGCAGGGTTCTCCCTCTTCGTGTCATGTCCTGAGACGTTGGTGACCATGGAGTGCCACAACTCTCTGTCCCATAGAAGTAATTCATTCTCCCCGAGATCAATTCCACTTTCAGAAATCCCACTCCTTAAGCTACGGGTAGTCATCCACAGAATCCTCCTTCTACCCCTACTCCTCCTCCCCTCGATTCTTCCAGTCAGTGCAAGGTTTTCCAAACCATTCTTTCGTATAACATGACCCAAGAAGCTCGGCTGTCGACGTCTTATATTATTCAGAAGCTTTCGTCTGCAATCCAAGGGTTACTCAGCCTATATTAATACTTCATCATTTTTTCAAGGATCTGTATTCAAATGAGAGTATCACAGCCAAGAACCAGTATATGTTAAATCAAATGCAGCATTGACTACCTCGACACACCTGTTACTTGTACATCTAGATGCACAGGAAAAGTAAGTCATACCAGAGGGTCACTAGTGATCGCTGTTGTAAGGGGTGTATTCTGTAGCCGCTTTACTTTGAGAGGGACTATGACTTTATAAGAGGGATCATAAAGAATTTCCTGTAGGATGCCGGTCAAGGAGGTGTTAGGATTCGTTCAAATAATCTAGCTTGGTTTATATATTGAGGGGTCAGTGACATAAAGACGTAACTCCATTTTCGCCATTTTGAGAAAAAGTGGTTTATGTGTCACTAAGCACTTCGCCTTAAAGAGTCTAGTCTATGTTTCACTAGCCATTGACTTCAATGGGGTGTTTGGTGGAGTTAAGTCTTTGTGTTTCCTTTTTCTAAATATTTTGATAAACATGTAGTTACGTCTTTATGTCACTGAACCCTCGATATGCCCTTGTGCCCTTATCTTCCATGTGATTGACGTCAAGTTCATCATTCTCAAAATGTTACTCTATTAGCTGTATCTTTTGCCTTTCCTCTCCCCATTCCCCCTCTCCCTTCAACATTTCTCATCCATTGTCTCTACCGTGGCATAACGTCATATCAATCTCTTTTTACTTTACTATCTCCTCGTTGTTGCAGGTAAGAACGAAGGACAAGGAGTTTGACAGCGTGAGTCATCTCATCAACTACCACCGTAACAACCGACTTCCCATCATTTCAGCCGGAAGCGCTGTCCATCTGAAGACCCCGGTCGTCAGGAAATTCAAAACATAGGTGCCCCTCCCCCCTCCTGCCCCCTTTTTGTTATAAAATCCCTAATTTTTTTCAAACTCTAATTATATTTGGATCGAAATGTGAACGCTGTGAATTGGTAAAGGACAATCGGCCAGAAGTATACCTCGCGAAGAAGAACATGTATGTTGTCACAGCTGATATCTCTAAAACATTCTGTAAGACTTTGGAGGAGCTTTTCTTGAGAGCTTGAGTCAGTGATGACATGATTGTGACCAGCTGTATGCCAGGGTTTGTTGGTGTTCTTTCAATTGCCACATCTTGAAGAAATGTAATTGACATCCCGGCTCCCGCTCTGATATTGGCCTTCACTCACATCAGGCTAATAACTGGAACACATTGCAACATATACATTTATATCAAATATTGATAGAAAAAGATATTTAACTTCCATTGGTGTCGCAGCATTTATTCATTTCATGATATTTTCTGTATTTGTTTATCAACTAAGCTCGCACCAATTTCTTCAGGGGTTGGACAGTAATTCCCAGTGAAGCAGGACACTGCAATGTACATGTAACTCTTCCAGTTATCATACAGTATGCTGTCTTCACCATTAAAGGGAAGTGGCACATTAAAGTAGCTGTGTAAGACTAGTGTTCTAAATCACTTGCTACGTATCTCTGAGGTTTTCATGAGTGGAGCATGCAGTATTAAGCATGGGATAAGGAGACGAGCGGGTAAAATTACTTCTGTATCATGAAAGTTAACTAAAGGGATGTTCAGATGTAATTAATAGAATCAGATTATTTAGATTCCCATATAGTGAAAAACCATTGTACAGTTATGACTATGATATGCTGAGAGACATAATGGTATTAATTCTTATCTTAAACAAAGAGTTAATGTCCGACGACAGAAGATATGTGGATCACTTTCCTATTCATACTTAAAGAGTGTGTTCTTTATGGCTGCAACGCAAAGAACATGTGTTTAAACATTTGACATCATTTGATTTTGTTTATCATCGATTTGTTAAGCATTTTTTACAGGTGTTTTGGTTATATTGTACTTTAGTCCAGCCCCAAAATCATGAACTTTGGGAAAATATTCACTCCAGCTCCGTGACGTGGTAAGCAGCTTGATGATCAAGGCTATATGAATAATGTATAATGTATATATATTTTTGTTACATGTACAAAGATGTATATGGTCATTATATTATCAAGTTTTTTTTCTATTTTCATGACCCATTTGATTTGAAATAGCATTGTAGTTGATTGCAGGCTTTTTTTCTTTTTGTAATAAATACTGCAAGCGATTTGGTCGGGTCCATTTCAACTGGTAAACACTTTATAAAAAATAGTTGTAATTGTTAGTAAAATTATCATTATTATGATCATTATTTTTATTATTGTAATTATAATAACAATAATATTAATTATTATTATAATTATGATGCATTATATTGCAGATCATCTCCCTAAATGTATACAACTATACATATTTTCATTTTTTTAAAATTAATTACAGGCCCAACTGTAGTGACCATTGATTCACAAATCTTAATCTTCACAATTTTCTGTAATCCGTATAAAACTTTTCAAATCTTTGAAGATTTGTTTATCTACCCAGCAGTGTGTACCGTAATCAATTTAGCAGTATTATTAGGTCATCTTCCAAATGTAACGAATGCTGGCCAAAGAAATTGTGGACCGATTCTTCTGATACCAAATTTCTTTTATTTACATACAGTGCATCTAAAACATTTAAAAAAACATCATTTACATTTTCTCGGTGTGATCTTCAGGCTACATGGTGAAATAATAATAATTGTAATGGTAACACATATTCATGCCTTTACGATAAGAGACTAAACTTCAGCCTGTACTGTTGTCCAGTTGTGATATTTTAATTCAGATTGAAGTCAATAAATGTCAGTTTCCTGCTTTGACATGTTATTTTTTGTTTTAAGTACGTAATTTGTACTGTGCTTTATTAATGATACATTTTTTATATAATTCCTCTCAAATTCACGATTTTTAAAAAATATTTGTTTACAAAGTCAGTAAAGTTGGTACATTGTGCTTACTAGGAGTCACATGTCTATGAGTGCATTGATATTAAAGTGAAGTAACTTTTAATATGCAGTATATGACTTGTTTGTGTTTACCCTTTAGTAACGACAACCATATACAGAACTTATATACCCTGTACTACTCGGATGCTGCTTCCAATGTTTGCGATCATTCCTGATGAAAAACAATGAGTGAAACCTCGTCTATTTGATGAGTGAATGGCACTATATGGTGAAAAGGTGTTGATTTGTTATCAAATTTAATTATAATATTAGCTACGAGTATTATCAATGTTTTTAAATGATTTGCTTATGTTCCCCATGACTCCATATATCCCATCGCTGTATTATATCAAAGTCAGACAATCGCTCACTGTCTGTACCAACAGGAACTCTGTTCATTTTCGTTTGGGAATATCTACTTTTGTGAATAGTTGAGGTGTGTCTTCATGATGGTGTGTGCATATGAAGATACTCACTCCACTATTACCGATCATTTATTTACATGTTTAGTAGCCTAAATCAACGCTTTATCTCTTAAGGATTCTTTTTTTGAGAGCGCCAGATGTGGATCACATTTCATATCTTGTCTTTTCTTCTCCTTTCTCAGTAATAAAATACCCAGTGGAATATCTTTTTTTTTCTTCTGATGTTGTGAGTTTAGTTTGGTAGATGTTTGCCATTTGCATATAGGCTGAATTTTGGCTTTAATCTCCTTCCCCTTCCCTCAAACAATCTACCAATTTAGTGGTCGATTGTAAGAACAATCCATTCTTGGGAATGTTAAATAAGCAAAGAATTCAATTTGTGGTTGTGATGATGGCTATATTACTTTTTTCAAAGCTACATTATCGAGGCTGGCCATTATATTCAGTTGGTAACAGGATCTGCATACTTTATGAAATCATTTCTACACATTAAGCCTGCATTTGATCAGTCCTATAGGGCAATACAAAGTTGATCTAGATGCTAGGAAAATCAGCCTTTTAGATAAATCAATTCACCACATCCTGAATGTTTACGACATATGTAGTTATGAGCATTTGACAGAATTTACATTTTTTTAAACCCCCTTGCATTTGGAGGTATCATGGTTATGTGCTTGTTTGTATATATTCAAACTTTTTATCATGATAATAAAATACTAATCTAATATAATAGTACTCTAATTGTTTGTTTTCCAGCTTGTATATATACTACTGAATGTGTAACATTTAGGCCTTACCATGCATTATGCAATGAACTTGTTCTTTGGTGCGACTGACGAAAAATATATTGAATATATATATGATAATGCTGTCTATTTTAGCAAACATGTACAGTGGTTGTGTATTCTCATGTATTATTGCGGTGTTAGGGTGGAACTCGTAAGGAATCTCCATTTTTTTCTAACTCACACAACCAGCATTTTACAGAATATATTGTTGCATAAAACACTGTGTATTTTTATCACTACTGATTATTGTTGTCAGGTTTACTCCAAATGACTCTGATACTCGAGTCTGATGAATAAATCATTCTATGACCGCCACTCAGGGGTGTCTGTTTCTTGTTTGGGTGTTTCATGTTTAATGTCATAATTGTTAGTGTCTATAAGGTTGGTTAAAATTTGTGTGATAAAAGGGATTTTTAAAAATGTAATGGAGAGAGAGGGGAGAGAGGGAGGGAGGGAGGGGGAAAGAAAGAATGAAAAGGGGGAGAGGAGAAAGAAAGAAAGAATGAAAGAGAGAGAGAGAGAGAGAGAGGGAGAGGGAGAGAGAGAGGGAGAGAGAGAGAGATGAGAAAGCGAGATAGAAATCTAGAAAGAAAGAAAGGACGAAAGAGAGTAACATTTAAAAACAACAAATAAATAATACACATATTTTAATAAAGAAATGCTACATTATCAGCTCGGGTTATACACAATTTCTTGACATCCTTATACATCCAAAATAAATTAAAAATACATTTATGTAGGAGCTATTCCCTAATATTTAAATCAACTGTGACCTGGAAACCGACCTTCAATTTGAGTACAGAAGGATTTTGCTTTCTCAATTGTCTTAACGTTCTCCTTAAGTTTACTACTTTTTAAAATCTTATAAAAAAAATCACTTGAAATCCTCATCATTCAGCACAAGATTTGGTGTAACGCACACAATTATTTTCCCTCCCGATTTTTGCAATAAATGAACATAATTTCATTTTGAATGAAAAAAACAAAATAAAAAAACGAAAAGAATCAAAAGAAACCGGGTCAAAAAGAGAGAAGGAATGACGCGAAAGTGCAAGGTAATCCTGTAACACTGGTCGGCAGCCCCCCCCCCCTCCCTCCCCTTGCCCCCGTCATGCATGAGACGGACCCCATGGGTAACGTTTAAACGTGACTTTATCACGGGAGAGGGGTTACGCTCTAATAAGTACCACACCCGCTTTGTAAAGCTTCTCACTGCCGGTGCACTTGTTGACCTCCTCACGAAAGTACTTGTGATTCTTGAAGAAAAAGTTCGATTAATCAGTGTATAGCCGGGGTAAGTGGGAGTGTCGTGGCCGAGTGATTTAAGGCGCTTGACTGGAGTTGCAGAGGCCGAGGGTTCGAATCCCGACACGGCACTAAATATCCTTTGGCAAGATATTAACCTACACTTGCTACTCTCCATCCAGGTGTTAAATGGGTTCCCGGTAGGATGCGACCGTCATTGTTGATCAAACAGTTTTTGAGTGTCAAGTAACGCCCGGCTGGAATGCTCCCCAGGGAGTGGAGATTGTGCACACAGTGTGTGCGGACAAGCACTGAATCCAATGACTGGGGTAATAGTACATGACTGTATATCTGTAAAGCGCATAGAGATATTTGTATTAAGCGCTATATAAATCAATTTCCTCTTTATTCCTTTATTCCATTATTGAAAATGCATGTAATATACTTGGATTTATATAGCAGGAAACATTAGTATTTTGTAGATTTGGATATGGTAGGACTTCACAGATTGTTGGAGCATTTCGCAAGGTAGCGGAAGGTTACTGACTTACATAGTAAAAATTGACCCTCTATGAGGCATTAACCTAAAATCGAGCTACATTATTAAGGAAGCAGATCTAGGATTATCCCCCCAGTGAACCATAAAATTCGTGCTGATTAGGATGTTCCATCCTATACAAGTGGAAAATAAATGAATAAGTAAAGTAGGCTAGTTGGTCTTGGGGGTACGGTTAGCCCAGGTTAGCTGTCTTTCTTTACGTGTAAATCTGACCGATTCGACCGAATCGTGTCTTTCGGATAGTGACTTTAAACGTCTGTCCCCAGACGCTTATGAACATAATTCTCATTGATAAACGTCTGTAAAAGCCTAATTAAAGAGCAGCAAGCTATTTTAATTTAGGTTCTCTTGGGAACCCGCATGCATACATTTTTCATAACCCGCCAGTAGGCCTTTAAATTATCGCTCAAGTTCAAACTCTTATCGCTTTAGTAGATGCTCATTCAGGTTTCATTGCGGCAG